ATAACTCATTTAGCATCTTTTAGTTCCTTCAATCCAACATCAAGACATTTTCCACCAATCTTGTACCATATTCTATCAACTACATCATATCCCAATTCACATACCCCATCTAAAACTCAAAATAACTCCAGAAATCTTCTTCACAGTCCCAAATACTGGTTTGACCTCCAACATACTTACTCTTTCATGACTTTTCAAACTTTCCACCATGGTGAACTTCTACATAGAATTTATCCATCCATCATGGTGACCCAAAAAAGGTAATAACAACAAAATCTAAATTTTAAAAAGATCAAATCTTTCAAATATTCAACAATGTCCTAACTCTTATAACCTCACAAAACACAAACAAAATAATATACCTAATACATGCAGAGAATAAATTTCATAAATAGAAACATACCTTATAACCTTGATGTTCGATTCCATTTCAAAATTTCAAACTTTTTCTAATAAGAAAGTCTAATAATCCTGGATAGCTTTTCAATATTTTGCTTTGCAAACTGATCTTTCGATTTCAATATCTCAAATTCCCTCTATAACACAGTGATTGTTTTCCTTCTTCCTGAAGTGTATTTCACGTAACTACAATCTCCACATGGAATGACTCTCAATTCAGGCTTCCTCTACAAGTCTAGGTAGGATAACATACATGATGTTAGTATCACATAGGATGCTTCTGTTACGTTCTCTAACGATGTCATGGAAAGGACTAAAGTGAAAAAGAAAAAAAAATCAAAACTTAGAGGACTAAATTGGACACACAAGTAAATTAGGAAACTAAAATAAATTTTATCCTAAAGTTAATTGATGAAAAGTGTAATTTTGTTAAAATGATATATCTCTTGATATGAAAATATTCTTCTTAAAAAGATGATATAATTTGTATCATTTGTGATCTAAAAAATAACTCATAAAAATAACTAATATGATTTTAGAACATGTGTCTTATAAACAATAATATTAATGCATAATACAAACATTCAAAAACCTAAATTGTGAAATAATTTGACTATTTTTTTTATCTAATAAAAAAATGTGATCTATCATACAATAACAGAAAGAGTAATTTATTAATGATATATTTAAAAGTTAAATATTTAACAACATTTAAAAATGTTAGTGTTGTCTCTTAACGATGAAAAGTTAATAGATTTCTTTACTAATTTAGATAATATAAATATTTTAAATAGATAAAAATATATTATTGAAATAATAGTTAATATTATTTTAAAATTCTATGATAACAAATAAATAAAACTAAAATAATTTTTTTAATTTATGGTATATAATAATAATTTATTATAATAACTTTGGTTAAAATTATACTATATAATTTTTAATAAAAATTATTATTTTATTAGTTTTTTATTATATATATTGACAGATTAAAAAAGTGAAAATAAATTTATTTTTGTCTCTAAACAAAAAAAATTTAGAAAGGAGTATTTTATAGTTATGTGAAAAATGAAATTACAAGAAAGTATAACAAAGAGAAGTTAGGTACACATTCAGTTCACGTGTGGGTTGCCGATGAAACCTCTTTGCTTCTGTTCTATTGGTGGATCTTCTGTTTCCACCGCCAATTCTCTGTTCCCGAATCTACTTTACTCCCTCTTCCAACCAATCATGGCACGCGCTTTTAGGCAGCCATTTCGTCGCAGATCTGCCTTCACAACGCGCCATTCCGTTTTTTCCTTTGCACGTTTCCTTTTAACTGGTTCGTGTCGTACACGCTCCCCTTCAGAATAAAAACTCCCCCATTTAGCATCTCCGTAGAAGGTTGCAATCTTCTGCGGTAGGTCATACGAAAATAATATAGGAACGGTTTCGTGATAAGTAATATAGAGTAACCTAACTTATATTTACATGGATATAAGTTATAGCCTTTTACATTAACAAGAAATTTCATTTCTTTATAAAGCTAAATGTGTAAGTCAACAAACTTACCAAAGTCTATACACACATATGATAATTTTTATTAGATATAGGTATTACGGTATTCTGAAAAATGAGAGTATTTTATGTTTTTTTTTATATATGTGAAATAATTATAATTATTAATTTTAATGATAGAATTAATGATATATTTTGAAAAAATATAAATATTTTTTAATATCTTAGTATAATTGAGAAAAAGTATTTAATACACTTTCAAATTTAGGAATACCTTATCAAACACCTATTTTATAACTTATACATTCATTTTAACTATTTTTTTTTTATAAAAAATTTTAGATATTGAAATATTTCTTGTAATTTATGGAAGCATCATAAATTACTATATGAATGCTCACATTAAGATATGTTATGAATTAAAACGGTCTTCGACACTTTAATACATATCAATATTTATACTTACATAATATATTTATAACTAATTTATTATTTTTTAAATATATTTTTAATTAAACTAAATAATTTTAGTTGTAATGCATTTATAATTAAAAAATTGCATTATTTTTATTGTTTTCTATTAATTTACATGTTTTAACATTAATCACTTATATTTTTATTAACTTTTCATAATTAGCATTTACATTATACAATTTGTAAGTGTTCTTGAAAATTCTCCCCTCCATTCTGTTTCAGCATTTTTCTTTTGCTAATATATTTTGGTATTCTTTTATTCTCTAATATTCAGTAATAATATTTTTATCTCTACTTTGGTACTTTTCATCTTTTCGGTACATGATAATTTTATAATTTTAGAAAATTATAAAGAGAAGTAGATATAAAAGATTATGGGCTGAAAATAGGTTGGATATATGAATCAAGCATGTCAAAATAGTTTGAGATATTTTAAAATATAATGAATCACATTAATGTTTAAAATATACACACACAATATACGCTAAAATACTGAAAACAGCCAATTTGCACAAAATGAGCCTCTGTTTATATTATTTTTTAAGGAGTCGATACATAATTAACGTGATGATATCGTGTTATAAAAGAATAAAAAATAATTATGATCAAATTCATAATTATTTAAATAAATTCATTAAATACTCGTTTGTGGGTGATACTCAATTACTAATTATTGTGATTTATAATTAGAATACATGTTACAAATGATTAATAATATTTATATAATTTTTCAAACAATAAAAAAGTAAAAACGTTAAGGTTTTAAAAGTATTTCTTTTTATAATGTTGAAAGATATTTTTTCTAATTTTTAAAAAATATATATTATAAATGTTTTCAAAATTTAAATAGATACACCTTAATTTATATATGTAATATGATATTGTTATATTGATTTATTTTAACTTCTAATTTATCTAGTTAAGTAAGTGCACAATTTTGACCTTATAATTTTTTTAAAACTAATTTAGTCTCCTTAATTTGAAAATATAGCAAAGCTAGTTCTATTGTTAAAAAAAATCTTCAAGATAAAACCCTCTAATTTAAATTTTTTATTTAAATTTTTTTAAATTTAAATTAATTGAATTATTTTAATCTTTGGTTGACTCAAAATTCACCAATTAAAACATCAAATTCAGCAACAATAAGAAAGATCTTAAATTTTTCTCTCTTTAAATCCAAATATCATATCTTATAAAATTGTTCAAATTTATTAAATTTTCACAAATTTCTAGCTTTTATACTTTTAAAATTATTTCATTCATTATAAACTCGCTTGTATTTTGATTTAAAAAAAATACCTTGAGAGTTTAAAGTAAAAAAATGTTGATAAAACTAAATTTGATTAATTTTGAAAGTAGAGATACTTAATTGATTCATAAAAAATTTCAAGAGACCAAAATCACATGCAATCTAAACTAAAATAAGCTAAATGCGTAATTAAATTTATTATATTAATGCATAAAAAATGTTTATGGTTGAGGTAAATTTTATTTTCTACATCTAATATAATTTTTTGCTCTATTATTTAGATAAAAACTATATATTTGATACTTATATAAAAGTATATTTATGAATCTATCCTTGCTATTTGAAGAATTTGTAATATATAATGACATTATATTTCAACCTTATAGGATTATTTTTTGTTCAAAAACAAACAATTTATTTTATATTTTACATTAAAAATTGAGTCTTTTAAAAGAAATAGATGACTTTAAAGGATAAAGTACCTTTATAATAATTGATTATAAAGATAATCAACTGTTATTATTAGATACAAATCCATGTATGACAAACTCTAACGTAATTAAATATCAACTATTGACTTTTTTTTTTAATCAATTGGTATAAATTTATTATATTTTCTAAAACTTATATTTTTTTACAGTCATATTTGATTTTAGAAACTCTATAGATACACATCTTAATCTGTTTAGTTTGGATTGCATGTGATTATCGTTTTTAATTATTTTTTAACCTAATTAATTTTTTATATTATTCGATTTTTTATATTCAAAATTATTAACTTGTTATTTTTATACAAATATTTAAAAGTTTGAAATTTAATAGAAACCCAATAGCATTTGAAGAATTTCAAAAAATATAAGATTAAGATTTGAAGATATTTTTTTGAATATTTTATTTTTAATAAAACTTAACTAAAATGAGTTTTGAATAAAAGATTTAAGAACATAACAGTCTTAAAAAAATTAACAACAAACTAGATTTAATTAATAAATATACAATTTTATACAATAAAAAGATGATTTAAATAGTTAAAGAAAATATTAAAAATCAAAATTACACAATATAAATTAGATTGGTAAAAAACACAGTTAAGGAATGATAAGATGTTCCTACAAGAAAGGTGAGTGGTATGTGATGTATATAGATTGAAATTATAGTAGACATGGTTGCAGTGAAGCAATCCTTGACGGCTAGCCACCATATTCTGATTTAATGTTAACTGTTCCCTACGTTATCCAAAGACGGCTGTCTTTTTTCCTCCAACTTGCAAGAGAGAGAGAGAGAAATTATTATTATTAAAATACAATTTTAATAAATAAACTAACATTATTCTTCCTTAATTCGTTCTATATATGTTTATATTTGGATAATTGATTGGATCACAGAATCTAGAGGTAGAAATGTGTGTTGACATCCACGAAATTCTTGGTTTAACCGTAGCCGCCCATTTGTTTTGTTACATAACATAAATGACTATTTTTTCTTTTCTATTTTTCATTCATTACCCATCAACTGTTTGCTAAATTGCCTCAGACAAAGCTGGGAGTTCTTTGAATAGAGAGCACAATTTTGGTGTGTTGAATGGTGAAGAATTTCTTGGGTAAGGAGGTGGAGAAGAGGACCTACCCACCTACCCACCACCCTTCAACATTCATCACCATCACCGATCCCTTTTAATTTTCTTCTTCTGTTTATGAGCACACCACCCCAAGAATTGCTGTGTTGTCTTTGGCTTTGGTTTGTTTTTCCTTTGCTTTAAGCCCTTCTTGGGGTGTGTGTGGACCTAATAGTAGTGCCTCAATTGCAACTACCACAGATTTGTTATAGGAACAAAATATTCCCATAACAAGATTTATTATTCATTTTACCCAAGAGATTCTTGAGATATGGGTCTTTGCATCTAGACTTATCTTCATCCCCCTCCTTTTTTTTTTATCTTGTTGTCTTGCCAAATCCCATTTTCCATGTGTCACAAAACCTGATACAGATCTTGGTGCCCCCACTTTTATTAGCTTCCTGGGTTCAACTCCTTCATAGGACCCATTACTACAGGTTCAATCTTTCATTGAATGACAGCTGTTGACATTGTCTGTACGGTTCTGCTCCTTTTTGTCGTAGGAAGCCAATAAGAGGGAGAAAGCTGTTTCGAAGGCTTGTTTAATTATCATTTTCTTTGTTACTATTATACATAGTAACATAAGAGTGGTTGTTGAAGCTTTCAAGTCAAGGCAATTTCCACCCCAGTTCGTCGGTGTGGTTGTGTCCTTGTTCAAACTTTGGCGTGAGGAGGCCCACCATTGGGTTTTGGTGGGCTTTCTTTGAACCAATAAAAAACCCATCTTTAAAAGGTGTTTGAAGATTCCAAATTTGCTTCAGTTTGGGTTAAATAGGGAGGTTTCATGATCTAAGTTATTGCCTTTCCACCATTGGTTTCTCCACTGACTTATAGTCTAGTCTAACCTCTCTTTCTCTCTCTTATCACATATGCCAAATTCAATTTTGACCCGTAAAAGAATTCCCTTATTCTAATGCTACTTTACTTCATTACTTGTATCTCCTTCTTCCTGTTTTTAAAGTCCCTCCTTCTCAAACCACTCCCTTCATGGGCAACTGAGATGAGGTTGCTTTCCCTTTTATTTTGTCAAGAGTTGTCTGTGAAAACAGTGTCCCAGTTGTTCAGGAACCGCTTTTGGCTTGGTCTTCTTTGTCAAATTCCTCAGAGGATGTCTTTGGTGAGGAAGAGTCTGAGTTCAAGAGTAGAGAATGTTGAGGACAGCCATGACATGTCAGTGTTAGACTTGCCTGAGCTGGTCTTGGATTGCATTCTTGAAAGGCTTCCTCCCCCTGCACTGTGTCAAATGGCTGGTGTTTGCCGTTCCTTGAGGGAGAGGTGTGTGAGTGATCACCTTTGGGAGACGCACATGAATCAAAAATGGGGTAGAGTTATTGGTCCTGCTGCTTATAGGGAGTGGAAATGGCATGTTGCTTCAAAAAGGAATGTTGGGGGTCTTAAACATGGCAGGCAAAGGGGCTTGATGAGATTCATGTCTCTTCGTTGGCCTTTTTCATTGATGAGATCGAAGGTTGATGCCAATAGTATCACCAAGCAAAGGAGTTCTATGCCTGTTGGTTTTATCATGAACTGGTATCTTGCTCTTGAATCTGGCAAGTTCTGGTTCCCTGCTCAGGTCTACAACCGTGAGGTATATTTTAAGTATTAACCCTTTTGTTCTTTTCCATTGAAAATTTATATCTGCCATGATAGCTACAAATATAAAAATAGTTGCTTGAATTTCAATGGAATTTAGTGGGTTGTGTTTTCTCACAAGTTACATTTTTGCTGTTGGTGGTGTAGAATGGTCATGTTGGATTCATGTTATCTTGCTATGATGCTGAGCTTAGCTATGATCCACGAACAGATACCTTCCAAGCCAGGTATTTGGCATGATTGTTGGTGATCATATATTTACTGTGTCAATTCATTGGGAGTCTATCTATATTTGTGTTTACATTGGTTATAGTCTGATAAATTTGACTAGCAAGTTTGAAGAGCTTTTAAGGAAAGCATAGGAGGAAAATAAAATGAAATTTAGATCTGATGGCCTAATTATTGATTTCTTGTTGTATAATACAGATATCCTCCGCATGGAAGAAGAGCAGATGCTAGAGAGTGTGGCATCCCATGGGAAAGGCTAAGAGCACCTCCTGTTGATACTTCTCCACACGATCTTCATATCTCTGAATGTTTAAATGATTTGCATCCAGGTGATCACATAGAGATTCAGTGGAGGAGAAACAAAGAATTTCCTTATGGTTTGTTCCTTTTTCCAGTATCTTGTTCTATATTTTTTTTTTAATTTGTAGTTTTTTTTCCATTCAAAAGGTCGACCCAAAAGAGCCATTTAAGTTTTTAACAAAAATAACCGACAATGGCTGCATACTGTAGGACCATATCTAAATCTCTTAAAAGAGTAAAAAGAAGGCAGTTGGATCTACTTTAGGTCTTCCACAGAAATTTGATTACCCTTCTCTTAATCTCCATTTCTTTTATACCCTTGTGGAAAGATTTTGATGATTGAAAACCCATTTTTGTATAGTGTTGACATTCTTCTAGGCTCTACCCTTTATGTATTATTCCTTGATTGATAAAAGAGCATTTCTGGAGTTCATATTATAAGTATATGATTGGAATTATATTAAGGTAAAATGAATTGCTGCATGACGAAATGCACCTTTATGGCAGGTTGGTGGTATGGTGTTGTAGGTCACTTGGACTCATGCGATGGGAATGAAAATTATTGCCGTTGTCATAGTAGTGGTGAGTTAATTTTAACTTCCTTTTGGATAATTGTTAATATCAATCATTATTTTTTTCTTGTTCTTTTTCTCCCCTCATAGCAGAATAGAATTATATTCTGGCCCTGGGTATGATTGTCTAGTTAAAGTTTGAAAGGACAACTTCAGAATTTGTTGAAAAATGGTTGTGGGATTAGGATGAATTCTGTTTCTTAGATACAACTTAATATAAAGATACAAAATGGGATGCTAAAGAAATATGATGCTTAGAAATGTCGATGAAAGAAATTAAGTCAAGCTTACAGTTTGCTGTTTTATTGATTGAATATATTAAAGTTATAATAATAATAATAATAATTATTATTATTATTATTATTATTATTATTATTATTGTGGATGTTACGCATGTGTAGTTAGTTTACTTCGACAGACCAGACCAGACCACAAGTTTGGGTAGGTCTCTTTCTGGATTCTAATATATCTAAACGTGGACCACCTGCTATGCTATTTGGCTGGTCCCCAAGGCATATCATGGTCAGTGTGTCATCATTTCCACCAACACATTGATAAGTTGTGTCTCAGTGGATACATTTATGGCCAACTATGCTAAAGTACTTGATTCCTTTTGTAGGCTGTTTCATTTCTAGTAGGAATCTTTTGCTTTGTTGGACTAACATGATTATTTTAATTTTCCAAAACACTTCCATTTTTTCTGATCTTCTTAATTAGACTCAATGACCCATGATATCCTTCTAAGTTATCCCCATCCCCTGTGACATTTTATTTCACATTTCCTTCATCTCAATAAAAATAATAACAAAAGTAGGAATAGTAAATAAAATAGCACCAATTTTAAAACTATGCCTCAGTAAACAAAATCAAGTGCTTATTAAATACTGGATTAATTGCCTTATGTTGAGAAGGCAGTTTTGTTTGCTATGAATTTTGAGGGATGAAATTTGACAAACTTGTGCTCTTGGATAAAATTTTGTTCTTTAGATGTCTTCAAATTATCAATATATCATTCTTATAAGAAAAATTTACATTTATAAAGGCGGAAAACGTAAAAACATACAACATTACTAAACTACTAAAATGATGCTGACCGACTGCTCAGTTTTACTGCAAGATTCATGGCATTGTCATAGTTATTTTATAGCCAATCCCTGAGTTATTTCTTGAGATCCAAACATAGTTTATTTGATGCTAAATTTGTTGGTTGCAGATACTGTGGTGCTAGAGTTCAATCATTACACTCCTGGCTCAAGATGGAGGCAGACCACTGTTAGTAGGAAAGACCATAGGGAAGAGGGAAACGAGGCTGATGGCTTTTATGGTGGAATAAGAAAGATTAAGAGCGAGGCTGAGATTTCCATTTGGAAACGTCTTTGGCCTTCTGAAGTCTTGGATTAGTAGGCACTGGATCTTATCTAATTCTTCTCCACTTAGCATGATTTCAAAATAGAGGCTTTAACTGAAGCATTGACTGGTTCTACAATCTGCATTACACATGGAAATATACAACATTAAGTCGACTTCAGATATTTAGGCCAACCTGATTTCTTTTCTGCCTTTTAATTGTCACATTTTTTCGTAAGAGAATTTATGCATATTCATGTGGCTTCAATCATTGTAAATTACTCCTCATTTACGCACAAATGATGTAGAATATTCATTCCACTATATATAGAATCTAGCTGACGATCACAAATTTGTAGCTTCGAACTCACATAGCATTAAAGCTTTCTTCCCAATGAATGAAGATGTAGTTCAGGCATTATTTATGCGCAAACAGTGTATTGCTATGTGCATTAAGTATTTTCCCTCTCTTTGACAACCGAATTTTCTTCTTGCTCTGAGTTTTGATCCAGTGCCATTTTAGTATTATCCATTTTCTATGTCATTTAATGTTAGCCCTATTAGCTTTTGTTATTTTAAGAAAGTCTTAAACGGACAACAATGGCCTAAAAAGGTGATGTGGCTAACATTAAATGGAAGTTATATGTTTTACAAAGTTGACACGGCTTATTATATAGGCGCTGTTGTTACTGGGAGAGTGCCTGAGAATCTGATGCGGGTATTGTCATACATCTGATAGTTCTCTTCTGGTCCAAGGGAGAATAGAAATTGTTCCCATGCACATCTCAAAACAAAGGTACATACCAGAGAGAATCAATTTCTAAATACATTGGTATAATAATCTTACAATCAGAAAGTGGACAGAGCAATAATGTAAATGAATCTAACTGCTTATTCTAGCATGAAGTGGTGGCTCGATCACTTCATCTTCCTTCCCTCATAGCCCAAGCAGAGAAAGAACCTTGGCTCGTAAAATGCCAAAGTGATTTTGGTCATATCACTGGTTTTTTTCATCTCTATATAAATGAGATGATAGCATCAGTGCCCCGAGTTTCAAAGTCTCCTCAGGAATGCTGGCTTCTTCAATACTGCTAACTTATGCTTAGCACTTGCTTTACCATTGCTTATATTCCTGAAGTGAAACGTCATTATTTGCACTCTCTTCCTTTTCCTGGTGCAAAAATTAACTCTTTCAAACTCATCTTTCTTTCTCTCCATAGCAAGCTAGGTAGATGAGGTTGCTTTGGCTCAAAAGGCTCATTATTGATCGGATTAGGATCCTCTCATGTGGAAACTTTACTGTAGAAGGGTGCAGTGTTAAATCCAGCTGTTCAAATTTATTAAAATATATTATTTAATAAAATCTTATATCATAAGAATATATATTTGATGGTTGAGATTTAACGCAGTGATAGTGTCACTGTAAAGGATCTCTTTCGTGATTGACCACTCTCACCTCTTTTGGAAAAACCAACCATTTGGGTTCAAATAGAGTATGTGGGCATCTTGAATGGATTAAAATAATTGTTCCTCAAACTATGACTTGAAAAGGTTAAGTCTAGATACCAATCCTTGGGACCTTGATGGAGATGCAGTTAAGCTATTTTCATCCTCATATGTGCTTGGAGTTGTTGCTCTGTCTGGAAATCACAGTGCACCATAGAAACACTCCTCAAGGCTGCAGCTGCTTGCACTATGGACGCATCCATGTAGGAAAATTCTTATGAAAAGGAGATGCCCATCTGGTTTGACTGAAAAACCTTGGACGACCAAAGGCTCATTACTGAAGGAATATCAAAGATTTATAGAATATAATGACAGGAAAGCTTAGAAAAGAGTTGGTGTGTTAGGCGCTATTTGGCCTCAGTAAATGTTTTCTATTTGCAAAGATTTGTACGGAAAACCCTCAAAAAAACTTTTTTTGGTTCATGAGTTTTACTTCACGAAAAATTGGCTTCATAAATCACACCATATCATTCAGCGGACGATTAAAGTTAAATTTTTAAAAATCTAATTAATTAAAAGATTTTTTTAATGACTATATTTAAAGTTTTTTTTTTTAGATCTTTATCTACTTCCTTTTTTTTATTTACCTTTGAAATGAAGGGAATTTGGATTTGTATTAGAAAAATATTTCTTCAACAGTTATTAAGAATAGGGGCACGATATACTAATATAAATCTAAAATTTCTTACATTTGATTTGAACTTTTCATTTAATTTACATTTAACGGGTTATGTAACACCTTCAATTTTGTGATCCTTGTACAGAAGAAAATAGGAATTTTAATGTAGGGTATCTTACTGTAGTGAGAAAGAACGTTTAGAATCAAGCTTTTTGATACTCTCTCGCTGTAGTTAGAATTCTGTCATTACAGCAGCGAGCTCTTCACTGTAGCTAGAATGACAGACAGTAAAGAAAAATTTTGTTCGGTTTTTTCGCTGCAGTAAGAGAAGAGCTTGCTGTAACGAGAATATTACGAGTTAAGGAGTATTTAAGGGTCTCCAACCTAGAAAATTGAATCACAATCCAAAAGTCTTGACCTCTCATTTGTTCTCTCTAATTTCTCACCCTTTCTTCTCAGAAATCTTTCTCTAAAACTTAATCTTCCTTTGAATTCAGGCTTGGAAACTCAACCATTCAGACCCAAGGAACCTTCACCCTTAAGCCGATATCCTTTATTGGAACTTTGTGTCTCTCTCTTGGATCTCTAGGAAAACTCGATCTAAGAGACTCATTTTCAAGTAAGGGGACTTGATCCCAAACCCTAACTCATTAATATTTTAGTTTGAAAATACTAAGTTTTCTATTTGGACCCTATAATACTAAGGTTTTCTTAAAAATCTAATGTGTAAAAATAGAGAGTTTGACATGAAAATCCCATGCTTATTTTCAAAATCAATTAAATACAATTTGTAATGAAAGCTCTAGACAAAACTATTTCTTTTACCAGTAAATCTTGTTAAAAGGTAATTTAAGATTTACACATTTGATATTTTTGAAATAATAGATAAACTATAAATATTGGATGATGCCAGACTTTAGGATAGATGACTTTATTGTTACTGAGAAAGTGTGTGTATTGGATTGTACGATTAGGCTAAGTTCAGAGGCGTTCGACCTTCGACACATTGTTTTGGTTTGTGGTATGAAATTATTTGATGGTATTTCTGTGTCAGATGATATAATGAATATGGATATTGTATGATAGTTGGATATGCTAAAATTGATAGATTTATATTATTTATGAAAAATGTGGGAATGTTCTCATATGAAGAAAGAGTTTTATGTATGAAATAGAATGATATGACTTGATAGTGGAATTATGAGAAATATGATTATAATACGTGAGCTAGAATAGATTAATGGATGTGATTATGATACAGGTATTATGATACATCGAAAGGTGTACTCATAATACATGTATTGTAATACATTAAGTTATATGATCAAGACTCATGCATTATGACAAGTTGACCTATGAGAAGGATATGGAAAAGAATGAGAATAGTCAAAAAAATGTTGAGAATAAGTATAGATAATTACAAAGATATATTTGGGGTATAGAGTACAGAGAAGATTTGAGAAATCTTGAGGAAATGAGGGTGGTGAATGCGAATTGTAAATAGGTGCACAATGATTTGCTGAAAGTAAAAGTATTCACAGGCCACACATTTATTTCCTGACAAGACTCATGATTATACTTTTGTTAAAAGGGGTTAGATCAGTACACGTGTATCCGTGTTGCTACAGCTAACCAGCAGCTATCTATGCTATGAAATACTCAAAGGATCCTAAGGGCAATGAATGTGAAAATGTAATGAATATGAAGTAGTATAGAAATTGTACAATCATAATATATGCATTATAACATATCGATTGATGTTGTTATTATATATGTGTTATAATACATCGACAGGTACGATTAGGACACATGTATTATGACATGTTGATTGATATACTATAATACATAAATTACTGTGAAATTATATATCATAAATGATTGTAAAGATGATTGATTTGTTGGGTGTGTGTGCTTCATTATGACAATGATTTATATGCTCTGAATGTTATTGTTGATCAAATACATATATATTAGATAATATTTTCAATATTATGTTTATATTTTCTTCTGTTGAATAAGAGATTTAGTGGAGTGAGAGATACTCACTCCTTACTAATATTTTTCAGGTAATGAAAGTGAATAGATAAAGATGGTTGATCCGTTCTAAGTTCATAATCTAGTGACATTGTGAAAGAAGATTGCTCTGTAGGATTTAGAATAATTTGAAGAAGTGTAATATTTTATTAGATTTATATTTTAAATTGACAAGGTTCTATAAAATACTTTAAATGTTAGTTTTAGAATTTTAAATTACCTTGATAAATTTTTGTTGCAATTAATAATTTTGAAGTTTCATTATATCTTAAAATTATGCGTATACATTGTGAACCAATATTTGCTAGACAAAAATTTATGTTTTATTTATCACTTTAAAGTCTTGAAATTATTCTTTTGAAAGTTTTAAAATTTGCATAAGAAAAATATGAATTTTTCTTTTATTCAATTCTTAAATCTATAAAATAGAACAAAATTCTCCTATTTTTTCCTTTTTGTCATAAAAATTTATTTATTTTTAAATAAAAAAATGAGGATGTTATAATGAGAATAACCTTTCTTCATGATTTGGTAAATAGTCAAGATATTTTTTGAGGTTGGCAACTAGTAGGACATTAGTAATAAGTTTTGTACATTTTTTTTGTCTCTTCCATAACGATGTCTTTGCATGTGATTCAAAGATAATATTGTTCCTCATTCAAACTTTCACTTTGATGGATTGGTCGATATTCTTGAAGGTGCTTACATATTTGGCCTACGATTGCTACAACCGCTATCCAAGTACCAAATTTCACTCTTTTCATTACTAGGATCTTGTGTAGCATAGAAAAAAATGTTGTTTTCAATCATATTCTTCAACAAAATCTATTTGATACTTGTTTTATTACGATGATACTTTTTCACGTGTCCAAATTTCTTGTAATGTTGACATTGTAGTTTTTCATGATACTGACATTCTTCTTCTGCATGATTTATCCTCTTATAACTATTGCATAGATGATATTTATCTTTGATTGTTTTTAGAGAAATTTCTAAAATTCTCTTTATTTTGAGAAGTTTCTCCATTAATTTTTTTTCATTCCCTTTATTTTGAGCCTAGAATTTGAGCTTTGATTAAAAGACATTTTCAACTAAGTCTTCATCATGCATTTTAATCATTTGGATCATATTTATGGGGAATAATGATTAGTATTTTTTTTAACAATTTTCTTATGAAGAAATATTTTCTCACAAACTCTCATTTGATTGAATATTTTTTTATTTTAAAAAAATAATCTTTTACGTTCTTAGACTCTTTCATTTTTAATAATTCAAACTTTTATCGTAGAGTTTGAAGTTTTACATGTACCTTTTCGCTTACTTCAAACTCTTCTTATAACGTAGTCCATGCTTCTTTGACTATTGTAACACTCATTATTCTTAAAAAAATTGTATCAGTAACAACTTGTTGTAGAGTAAATAAGGTCTTCAAATTTATTTTTTTTTGCTTATTTTCTTTTAATTCTTTTCTTTGAGTTGTAGTAAAAATGAGATGTTTGTTAAAGTATTGAATTATTGTTTTACAATATCCTACAAATTTTGGGAAGTGAAATATGTTTTCATTTTTGTACTCCAAAAATCATAATCTTTACCATTGAAAATTGGGACCAAGAGAGATGATGGTTGAATAGTTTTAGCCATGGGTTAGAACAATTTTAGAAATGGTTTATTATTACTTTTTGTTGGGAATAATATGGTTATATTTTTATGCTCAGTACTGAACGTAGCTCCAATGCCATTAATGATTTTTGGTGTAAGTGATGAGTAAAATTGTTGAAATATATTAGTTGAATAGTTAAAAAATTGATAATTGAAGAAGTTTAGGTAAGACATTCAAGGAAAAAAGAATTAATAACTTGCTTGGTTTATACATTTACAATGTCATATCATGTCTATTAATAGACATCCTACACCATTATATTTGGATGATTTAATAATATTCATAATGAAGTATCTACTTCTAGGCCTGACCATCATGAATCCCAAACTACTTGCAGCGATATTTCTTGTAACACCTCAAATTTTGTAATAATATTTATTGATTAGTATATATATATATATATATATATATATATATATGTATATGTATATGTATATGTATATGTATTTAGATGTGAGTGTAAATGTGACAGGATGTTGGAATCTGCATTAAGTGCGTAATGATGATGTTGTGGGTATAATGTATGTGGATGCGTATATATAATTGGATTGGATTGATTGGGCTGAAAACAGGCTAAGTGTAGATGTTGCTGTAGGGCATTCTTGCCGTAGCGAGAGGCTCCTAGGCGTGAGGCATAAAACTGTGCCTTTATCGCTGTAGCGGCAAAGCCACAGTTCAGGTTGCATTTCTGGGTGCAATCTAGCTGTAGCGAGAGGTTCTCCCTGTAGTGACATTCTGCAGAAATCAGGGTGTAATTTTGTCTGAGTTTTTCCCTGTAGCGAGGGAGGGAGTCGCTGCAGCAAGAGTGTCGCTACCAGAGAGGATTTAAAGGGGGTTAGGGTTCAAGAAAGATTATTTCTCACCTTCCCTTTGAAATTTCTTCTATTCTCTCGATCTAAAACTTTATCCCACCGATTAAATTGCCTCCAAATCCGTTCGGGGAGCATGATTGAAGGTTGGATTCGTGTTGGGAACACTTGAAGGACAGAATCCGTGTGGGGGAGCGCTTCTTGGTGAATTTAGCGTGTGGATCTTCGATCCGAGATAACGGAGACTCTACCCTATCTGAATGTGTTGTGATTCTTGTGTATTTTGTTGATTATTGTAATATGGCTGAGATAGGGGATAAGGATTGTGTGTTTGATGAAATTTGATGTGCAATGTGATGTGTGTTGGAATAGTTAGACCTCATGGGGGTGATTGTGTGTGATGGAATGCCATTGATTGGTGAATTAATGTTATTGTGAATAAATGAGGGCTATGTGCCGTGTATGGTGGATAACATGTGGGCTATGTGCTGTGTAATATGAATGAGTATTGTAATGTGTATGAATAAGGCATGATTAACGCTAGTGTAATGTGCTGTGAATGGTTCAGTGATACACTAGGGTGTGGAAGATGAGGACAGTAGGAATACTTTGGAGAAAAAAAGTGGTGGTGACACCGACAGTGAGAGTGGGTGTACTACGGGCTACACACTCTCTTCCTGACTAAACCTATGATCACTACCTTTGCTGAGTGACTCATGACTGCCCACGTTGTATCAGTGAGGTGGGGGTAACTTGCGACCATTTATAGTGAAAATTTGTAATCACAATGTCACCGTGAGCGTGGCAGTGTGGTGTGAGCGCGCGAATGTATATAAATGTTTGGTGCCATGAGTGCATCGATGATAAATTGAAATAAAACGTGTGAAAATGCTGTTTATATTTATATTGTGTGAAGTATATGCAAGGTGAGACTCTATGCTTGTTGTATTTTAAATAGTGTAGAGTACTCACCCTTACATTCTTTTTACAAGTAATTAAGACAATCAGCACCGGATTCAGTGAAGGGACGGATGAACTACTATAGGACTTAAGTTTTATTTTGAAAATGTTGTATTGAATTAGTTTTGTAGCAGTTATTTGATATTAACTTGTAACCCTTCCCTTATTTCAAAATACTTTATGAAACTTTTATTATTACGAATTTGCGAAATTATTATTTATTTGAAATTAAATTTAAGGTGTTATATTTCTACTTTTGGGTCTGACTATCATAAAGCTCAAACTACTTGCAACAATATTTCTACTTCTGGGCCTGACTATCATGAAGTCCAAACTACTTGCAACAATATTTCTATTCATCCTATGACTCCTACCATATGGGATCTTTAGTTAGTGTTTGTTTTGGTTGATGTATTTTCTACAGTTGTTCTTCCCACGCTCTTATTTTTTTCTTTCAATATAAAATCAGATCTCTAGATCTAGTTTAGATATGGATTTATATTTTCTCATCAATAGAAATTTTGTTTTCTCTTAATTTTCAAATACTTTTATGGTATCAGTTGTTTTTTGGTTAGATCCTTAAGCATCTACTTCTGCTGTTCTTCGTTTTTTGTCATGCTTCCACGACTAGCCCCTCAAGTTCGTCCTCCGATTAATCCTGCTGCAGATCAATTGAGTGTTTACTATGTGCATCCTAGAGAGAATCCATGTCAAGCTTTAGTTTCTCTTCTTCTTTTGAGCAAAAATTATCATGCTTGGGCGCATTTGATAACACGTGCTCTCATCTCTAAGAATAAGTTCAAGTTTGTTAATGAAAATCTTCCTAAGCCTAGTGATGATTTTGATCCATCTCGAGGCATGGGAACGATGTAATAACCTTGTTCTTTCATGGATCTTAAATTCTGTTAAACCACTGATTGCTCAAAGCATTGGTTATGTGAATTTAGCTTTTCGGGCTTGGAAAATCTTGAAAGATAGGTTTTCACAAGTTGATCGTGTTTGAATCTTTGAATTATGATGAGTCTATAACTCATCTAGAAAATTAGAGATTTTTGGCATATTTCATTGGATTTAAATCATAAGTTAATTCAATTAATTGGAAAATTCAATGGTATGTTACAAGTACTAGAAAATTTGTATAGATCATTCATATTCTGATGTTGGTAATTGAAATTTTGAAGGAATTTAGACAAAAAGTGGCAATTGGGCTAAAGGACGAAAGTTAAGTGTTGCAGGATACACTTTGTGGGGACACGATGCTGACTGATGCATATAAAAGCAAAAAAATTTTGAAAAGGCGGCATCTTTTATCTTTCTTTTTTTAGAACATTCTGGAGCACGGTTTTCTAAGTTTTCATACAGTTTTACGTAGAATAGGGTAACTAGGGTATTTTCTTGACATCTTGGTAGAAGGATTCTCATGGGAACTTGAATTTCCTTTCCATTTTCTCTGATTTTTGTAATAGAACAGTAACACTTTCATTCTATCCTTTTGCTGTAAGCTTTTCTATAACTATGAATTTCATTTCTGCAATATATCTCAGTTTTAATTCATTTCCTTTCATAATGTCTAGCTAAATCTCTTTGGGGTTGAGTAAAGATGAACTTATACCTTTACCCATTGCAATGAACTAAGCATTGTATGTGACTCAAGATGGAAGTTTTAATCTAACTTTTTAATTCTGAACTTAATGCCTCGCTTTTCTACGTGAATGAGGTTGATGAAAATGAGTTCATTGCTGGAAAGTTGTGAACTTTCTTGGACTGGAGTTAAAATGCTTATTATGAATTGTTTAGGAATTGAAATTTATGATAATGTGGTCATATGGGTTTTATCCTTAATGCTGAACGTTTTTTGTTTACCTAAGGGATTAGGAGATTAAAAGTCGTTTTAAAACCAATTACCAAGGGATTGGAGTTGAATAATTGAGACAACCTAACCATTAGATTGACTATATTTTGAGTTACAAGTATATTTTAAGTAAGGGGAAAGGGATAAGAGATTCTAAACTCAACCCATTTATTAATCTTTGCAAAAACCTATTTTCTTTACTTGAGTTATTTACATTCTGCAATTTTTTTACTTATTTTCTGTATTAAATTTTACTTTTCTCCATTTATTAATTATAATTCCAGCACCTTTACTTTCAGTTTTAAAATTCTGCTGTGTTAAATTTCGTGTTACTATATATACTCTGTTTTGGTGACCCAACTAGTAATATTCTTGTGGTTTGATACTTAACACTTATCCCAGTGGACGATAATCTTTGTAACTTCAGCGATTTGGTGCACTTGTCAAAAAGTTTTATCAAATTACAACAAGAAATTTTGAATTTCAAACAAGGTACTTATACTGTTACTGATTACTTCACTCAGTTGAGTACTCTTTGGGAAGAGGTTAATAGCTTTCATCCTTTTCCTAATTTTTCTTGTTCGGTACGTTGTGTTTGTGTAACAAGTACTTGTGAAAAACTTTATCGTAGTGAAGATTATGTCATGAAATTTCTTGCTGGTTTAAATGATGAACTCGATGTTGTCAAAACTCAAATACTTATGATAGATCCATTTCCTACTTTGGATCGTGTTTTTTCTCTAGTTTTACAACAAGAAAGGCGAATTTCTCCGAATATTATGGATGATTCTCACGCTTTTGTGAATGCTTCAGATTCTAGGAACAAAAATTATGGTAATTCCAAAGAGAAAAATTATCGTTATTGTGATCATTGCAAGCGTCCTAGTCATACCAAGGATTTTTGTTACAAATTACATGGTCCATCTTCTGATCTTCTGAGAAAATATTTTCGTTCTTTGAACAATATTGTTGGAGAATCTTCTGCTGTTAATGATGATGATCAGACTTCTGTTAAGGCAGGTTCAGAAGCTTCATTCTCTTTGTCAGCTGAAGAATACAAAGTTGTTATTTCTTTGTTACAACAAGCAAATTTGACTGGTAATGTTCCTCAATCACAAGTTGCTGCTCTAACCACTAGAGATATTGATCCCATTCACAATTCAGGTAATACATTTGTTTGTACTTTCCAGAGCAACAATGCTAGCACTTGGATCATAGATTCTGGGGCAATAGATCATATCTATTTTGACAAATCTTTATTTTTTATTTTTCGTTCTTTATCTTTTCCTATTTCTGTCAAACTTCCTAATGGTAGTTATGCTATTGCTACTCATTCAGGAAATGTTCCTATTACTTCATATCTCACACTTTTAGATGTTTTATTCTTACTTGAATTTTCTGTCAACCTTATTTCTGCTCCTAAATTAGCCAAACATCAATATTGTGCCATTATCTTACTTTCAGATATTTGTATTATGCAGGATCTGAAAAGGTTGAAGAAGATTGGTTCTGTTGATCTTGTGTGTGGATTATATACTATTCACAGTAGTCCATCAATCATACATTCTCAACCTTCTATCAATAATACTGTTTCTGATTGTTCTAGTCTGAAATGTACTTTACCAGTTTATTTTCCTCCTTCTACCTTGTAGCATTTTAGACTTGGACACGTGTTCTCCTCTAGGATGAAACTTTTGTCTTCCATATATCCATATATTAGTAATAAAAATCAATTTCATGTTTGTGATATCTGTCATTAAGTAAGAAACCAAGGAGTATTTGCTTTATGATCTTCAAAGCAAAGCTCTTCAGGTTAGTAGGAATGTTCATTTTTTTAAAAATATTTTTCCTTATCATTACCTTCAATCTAATTTGCATCTAATCTGTATTACCATTCCTACTTCAGATGTTCCCCATTTATCTAACACTTCTTTACCTACCTTTACTGATCTTATAGATCTTTCTTCTTCTCTCTTACCCACTCAACCCATACCAACCAATGATTCGTTTATTTTACCTCTTCTGATGTTTACAATTCACCTGTTCCAGTTATTGTGTCTGAACTTCCACATGAAATTTCACCTCCCGCTCCTACTGATTCTACATCTCCTCCTGTAGTTTCAGAGGTCACTCTTCAAAAATTCACTCGTGTTTCCTCTTGACCCTCTAACTTGATCAATATGTTTAAAATATAATCACCACGAGCTCTTAGACACAATCTTCTTCAGGAACTTCTTCAAGTACTCCCTATCCTTTTAGCTCTTTTCTTTCTTATTCTTCTCTTTCTTCCTCACCTGCTGCTTTTAGTATCTCTATTGGTCTAGAGTAGGAACCTAGAACTTATACAGAGGCCAACAAATTTGATTGTTGGAAACAGGCTATGGCACTTAAATTGGCAGCTTTGGAAGGGAATGGAACTTGGTCTCTTGTTACTCTTCCTACTGATGTCAAACCCATTGGCTGCAAATGGGTTTACAAGATCAAGAGAAAATTAGAAGGCATTATAGAAAGGTACAAGGCAAGTTTAGTAGCTAAAATCAAATTGAAAGCTTAGATTTCCTCGATACTTTCTTTCCTGTTGCTAAAGTCACTACTATCAGAGTTGTTTTGGCATTGGCTGCTTCTCAGAATTACTTCTCCTAATTAGGTTTGCAAATTGGAGAAATCTTTGTATGGCCTCAAATAGGCTAGCCGACAGTGGTATCAAAAGTTGTCTCAGTTCTTACGTTATCACAGTTTTATTCAAGCTTCATATGATCATTCCTTTTTTCTCAAATATATTTCTTCTTCTTTCTTGGATATCCTTGTGTATGTTGATGAAATCCTCTTGTTTGATACTTTTACCACTGACTTATGTTCTATTAACTCTCATTTACATACTACTTTTGGCATCAAGGACTTAGGAATTTTGAAGTATTTTCTTGGTTTGGAAGTTGCCCACACTATTTCTGCTATTTTAGTGTCCCAAAAAAAGTACTATCTTGATTTACTTAAAGATACTGCTTTAACTAATTGCAAACCTGCTACTACTCCTCTGGATCCAGCTCTTAAACTCTATCAAGATAAGGTAGAGTTATTTCTTGATGTTTCTTCCTATCGAAGACTAGTTGGTCACCTTTTGTACCTCAATTTCGCACGCCTTGATATTACTTTTGCCACTCAGCAAGTCAGCCAGTTTATGGCAACCCCTACTATGACACACTATCGAGCTGCCCTTCGTATTGCTCGTTATCTTAAACAGGCACCAAGTTTGGGTCTTTTCTTTCCCAGAAAATCCTTTACTTAGCTAGTTGGTTTTTCAGATGCAGATTGGGGTCGTTGTCTTGATACTCGACGATCTATTAATAACTATTATTTCTTTCTTGGTAATTCCCTTGTAAGTTGGCATTCCAAGAAGCAAACAATAGTTGCTCGTTCTTCTACAGAAGCTGAATATCGTGCTCTTAGCTTTACTGTTTGTGAGCTTCAATGGCTTGACTATCTTTTTCGGGATCTTCATATTCAATATCACAAGCCTCTTGTTTTGTTTTATGATAACCAGAGTGCCATCTACATCACTCAAAATCCTGTTTTCCATGAGCGCACCAAGCATCTTGAGATTGATTGCCATTTGGTTCGTGAGAAGCTACTTGCTCGTCTGTTCCGTTTACTTCTTGTTTCTACTCATAATCAAATTGCAGAATTTTTCCCAAGCCTCTCTTTGCAACTATGTTTCATTCCTTTTTATCTAAGCTAGGTGTTCTCGACATCTTCGCACCCTCTAACTTGCGGGGGGATAATGAAGTATCTACTTCTGGGCCTGACCATCATGAAGCCCAAACTACTTGCAGCAATATTTTTACTTCTGGGCCTAACTATCATGAAACCCAATCTATTTGCAGCAATATTTCTATTCATCCTACAGCTCCTACCATATAGGATCTTTAGTTAGTGTTTGTTTTAGTTGTTGTATTTTCTACAATCGTTCTTCCCGTGCTCTTATTTTTTTTAAATATAAATTCAGATCTCTGGATCTAGTTTAGATATGGATTTATATTTTCTCATCAATGGAAATTTTGTTTTCTCTTAATTTTCAAATTCTTTTAATTTATAATATTCTTAAACTATCTTATAACTAAATATAAATAGATTTTCTTAAATTATTTCTAATATTTTTCTAAACTATTTTAAAAATTTGTATCATGTTCTAACAGTTCATGATGAAATTTTTGGTTGCATAAGCAAATTAGATTTTTTTTGCCTTTACATTTAACTAAATTCCTTTTTTAATTAAAATTTGCATGTAGCGCATTTATCAATCTAACAATGTGATTAAACTTATTTGTGATAATGAAAGTTTCTCGTGCTAGAATTATGGGTTTGATTAATCTTAACTTCATGGTTGAGGTTAAGCTTGTTTTGTATATGCAATGCGAAGATAGTAGTTGTGAAATGTGAAAATAATCACATCATTAGAGAAACATCTTACAGAAACTAGTATTTGCCATGTGCCACCAATTCTCGTGACATAACCCAATAAATTACTATTTTAGTACAATGCATTTTTCCAACTACTATTATTATGCTCATACTCATACTTGCTCGAAATCACACGGAAGACGTATACATTAAAAAAAGTTGAAATGCAAAGTGGGTGGTTCGGAGGTCACTTTTAATGAAATAATATAATAGTGTTTGTCATTGATTATTGCAAAAAAAAAATTCCCTTTCTCTCAGCCGGGTTCTCTTATAAGAAAGGAAAAAATCCATCCTTTTTTTTCTTTCTTTCCTAACAACTTTTAAATATAACTTTGTTATAAGTTAAATGAAAGAGTTAGATCAAATGTAAAAATTTCTAAATTTATATAGGTGAAAAAAAAATCTTATATATTTATATTTATATATATTAATTATAGAGTTAAAAAAGAAAAAAAAAAACCTCATGACATAAACTATTTATTCTCTTAATTCAAAACAGAAAAGGCAAATTTTAATGGAAGATAAGATCTTACGATCACTGGAGGAAAATTTTAATTACAAGTTGTAAGTATGATACATCACAATCTAAGTTGAATAAACTAGGTACAACGCATTCTTGTGAAAGCAGAGAACCAAAATTTCTTAGCACCATAATCCTAGAATTTCAAGAATTAGATAACATTTGCATTTTTAAAAGTTAAAAAATAAAATTATCCAGAAAAATCATTAGCAAACCGCTGAGAAAAAAAATTAACGAACAACACAAACTCACTTTTGTTTTCACAATTGTGATTTCTAACATTTTCATTATTGTTTGGTGGGTAAATGTAACATAGGTTTCTTAAATTAAGCTCATGAAATTATCGTCTCATAAATATTGCTTATAATTATTAAAAATTTCATAATTTAATTGCTTGAGTTCAAAAGATACAAAATTAAATAAAAAATATAAATTTAATTATAAAATCAATTATTATAAAAGTGAGTAGCATAATACACGTCTTATTTAAACTTATAAAAGAGGAACTTAAGTCATATAAATTTTTTCATTCAATCTTTTATTTTATTTTTTTATTTAACTTTAAATTTGATTTTTCTATAATTATTAATCATTCATATAATTACTGTTAGTACTAATGGTCATGCAATATTAACACTTACAATAATCATACAAAATATTAATTCAAGAAAGTACAAAGTATATATGAAACCAAAATTTTTTTTACTAGAATTCAGCACTATCATACCTTAAATTTTCACCACCACATATGTGTATCTCATTCAACAGTTAGTAAAAGATTTAGAATTGGCCATGGCTTTGGTAGGAGAGGCACTAATATCTGCTTCTGTGGAGATCTTGTTAGATAGAATAACTTCTACAGAGTTTCGAGATTTCTTTGCCAGCAAGAGGTTCAATGTTTCTTTGTTGGGTGGGCAAATATACATGTAAAAAAGTAATATAGAGTTTTTAAATGAAGTTTCTAAAATTATTAAGAATTTTATAATCTAATTGTTTGAGTTTAAAAGATGCAAAATTAAATAAAAATAAAAATTCAATTATAAAATTAATAATGAATAAAAGTAAGTAACAATGTATTAATTGAACTTATAAAAAATGAATTTAGGGTATATGAATTTCCTCAGACAATCATTTATGTTATTTCTCATAAAAAGGGATTCGTGCTTGGATGTCGAGATCAGGGGACTTTATCCAATCCATGCGGCGAAATCGATTTGTGGTGGAACAAACTCAATAAAAAAGATATATGTTTGTTTGCTTCGATACAAGAGATCGGCCCCGAAGCAAGCAAGGTATGGTGGGTGCCAGCAACTTTCACTTGTTAGGAGTAGGGGCTGAAAAGAGCTCTTTGTATAGGTTGGGTTTGCTGGGCTTTGATGCTTACCTTATTTTTATGAAAAGGGGAAGGTTTGATAAAGGAGCTTTTAAGCCCTTTTGCTGGATTGTTGGTCTGCAGCCCCGCCCTATAGTATAGAATGAATCATGTTTAATTTTAAATCTGATTTCATTGTAATTACTAATCATTCATGCAATTAATGTCAATATCCAGTGGTCATGAAATATTAACATTCTTTTCTTTAAATTAACATACACAATGGTCATATAAGATATTAATTCTGAAAGCATAAAGTACCTATGAACTTGTTAATTTAATAATGATTCGGAGAGAAATATTGGTTTGGTCTACCTAATCTTTTGTCTTGTTTTATCCTATAGATCTATTAACAAATCTAAGTACAGTCGCCTGACGATATAATTAATAAAGGTTATACAATTATCTACAATAGGATAAATATTAATCACAAATAGAAATCAAACTTATATTCAAACTTCAAAATCCCATAAATTCATAAATAAGAATTCTAGTAGCCCTAACTAAGGACTTAGTTATTCATGCCAAAGAAAAGAATTAAAACAATCATAAACAAATTCATAATCAAAAGAAATAGAAAAATAGAAATGAGATGAGTTCCTAGTCTTTAAGTATGGCTGCTTTAAGCTCCAAGTTTAGCTAAAAGTGTGCCAAAGGATCGTAGAGAGATGAGAGGTGTATATCAAATCAAGGACAATGTGTCAAATTGGATGTTTGAGGTATCTTTTTAGTAGGGTTTGAAAATCATAAAAGTTCTTCATAATTGTTTGTCACAAATGAGCACGTCGTGCAAGGTCATAAGTACAGCCATATATTGTCTTGAAGCATTTCGTTCTTGCTTCTAAGATCTAAGCTTATTGACTGCTGCAAAGCTCTATTTTGTAATTAATTTGAGCCTAAAATGGGTCTTAAACCCAATTATAGTCTTCTTATACTAAATTGTAAAATTAATATATAAATAAATACAAAATTTAAATAAAATAAATGTCAAACATAAATATATAGCTATAGAAGCAAGTCAAAATATGGACATATCAATTATGAATGTTTGTTTTTCAATAATCACTCTTATTGACATCATATCTCTATTTACTCATTATGTATCAATTGACCATGAGATTATCTAAGGTTTATCTAAGTAGTTTCGTTATTTAAGAAGACTTCTAAAAATTGAGAATATGATATGGATCGTGGAACACCTGAATAGATTACTAAACTGAAGCCTCTAATGACTTAACTTTATCCTGACTGTGATATTTGTTCAATTTAAAATTAATAAATCTATATAAACTGTATAATTAACTTTTATTTATGTAAATTTAAACAGCGTGTCAGAACCTTTTTTTTTTTTTCTGATTTTTGCCTATATTAGTTGAATTTTGATATTGCCGAATGCCACCAATTCTCGTGATATAACCCAGTAAATAGCATTAACATTTTAGTACGATGTATTTTTCCAACTACTGTTATGCTCTATACTCACTGGAATCCATATGGTAGAGGTTGAAATGCAAAGTGGGTGGTTAGGTGGTCACTTTTAACAAAATAACAATGTTTGCTATTGATTATAGCAAAAGAATCCCTTTCTTAAATTGAGTCTTCAACTTCTGTATTTTGCTTAATTAGTTCGTACAACCAAAAGCAAATAAAAATAGTAGCATTATTGAGGCATCTAAAAATATTTAATGTTATATTTAAATGATAGAGTAAAGAAACACAGAAGGAAGGAGGCATTATTTTTGGAATTAGAACAAACAAAAAACTTTTATTAGGCAAAAGCATAACATATATTACCTACGTGATGGGTCGTGTATTAACTAAACCGTAATACTAAAATCAAGACTTAACTACTGTTTGAATTAGCTTACATTATAAAAATTTTAAAATGAAAATATTTAGAAAGTTTTGTTAGAAATATAGTTGTTAAGCAAATAAAAAAATACACATGCACTTAGACTACAAATACAACGGTTACCATAGTTGGTCAGTCAACTTTTATGAAAAAAACAAAGATGTTCAAATGCTTAAAATATTATATGTGAAACCAAAACATTGTTGACTAGACTTCAGCACTGTAATACCTCAAATTTTCACCACCACGTATGTGTATCTCGTTCAGCAGTTAGTAAGAGATTTAGAGTTGTGATACAGTTTGCAAAACAAGAGAAGAAATGGCCTTAGCTCTGGTAGGAGAGGCACTAATCTCTGCTTCTGTGGAGATCTTGTTAGATAGAATAACTTCTACGGAGTTTCGAGATTTCTTTACCGGCAGGAGGCTCAATGTTTCTATGTTGGATGAGTTGAAGATAAAGCTTGGGGCACTTAATGCTGTGCTCAATGATGCTGAGGAGAAGCAGATCACTGATGTTGCTGTGAAGACATGGCTTGATGACTTGAAAGATGCTGTCTTGGATGCAGAAGATGTGTTGGATGAAATCAACACTGAATCTTTGAGATACAAGGTGGAGGGAGAAACTAAAAGCTTTACCCAGGTGAGATCATTATTTTCTTCTCCCTTTAAAACACTGAATTCCAAACTTGAAGCAATATCTGGAAGGCTAGAACATTTTGTGAAACAGAAAGATATTCTTTGTTTGCAAAGTGTTTATAGGAGAGTCTCTTATAGCAAAAGTACGGATTCGTTGGTTGAACCTGTTGTGGTCGCTAGAGAGGCTGACAAAGACAAGTTACTGAAGATGCTTCTATCTGATGTTGATGCCAAGTCTAATAATATAGAAGTGATCTCAATCCTAGGCATGGGAGGTCTGGGCAAAACAACCCTTGCTCAATGCCTTTATAATGATAGTGAAGTGCAGAAACATTTTGATTTGAAAGCTTGGGTGTGGGTATCGGACGTTTATGATGTTTTCAAGATAACAAAACAAATTGTTGAGTCTGTCTCATCCAAAGATTGTAACAGCACCAATCCAGATGTTCTTCGGGTTGAATTAAAAAATAGCTTGAAAGATAAAAAAATTTTGCTTGTGCTTGATGACCTTTGGAACGAAGAGTATAATGAATGGAATCAATTGATAATTCCTTTTACTAGTGGGAAAAAGGGAAGTAGGATCATTGTGACAACCCGACAACGAGAAGTTGCAAAGTTTACCCATACATTTCCCACTTATGAGCTGAAATCTCTGTCAGAGGAAAATTGTTGGAGGATACTCGCAAATCATGCATTTGGAAACGAAGGTCATGACAAATATCCAAGTCTAGAAAAAATTGGTCGGCAAATTGCAAGAAAATGTGATGGTCTACCATTAGCTGCTAAAACATTGGGAGGTCTTTTGCGATCAGATGTTGATGAAAAGGAATGGAAAAGAGTTCTAAACAGCAAGTTGTGGGCACACAATGATGTCGAAGCTGTTGCAGAGGACAAGTTCCGAATGCATGATCTCATCTATGATTTAGCTACACTTGTATCAGGAAAAAGATCTCACTACCTGGAATGCAGTGAAATTCCAAACAATGTACGCCATCTATCTTTTTCTAGAAAACGTTATGATGTCTCAAAAAAATTTGACGGCTTCTATGAGCTCAAGTGTTTGCGGACATTTCTACCATTGGATAGATGGTACTGTAACATAACCAGAAAAGTGCCACAAGATTTGTTGCCAAAACTAAAATGCCTAAGAGTGCTATCATTGTCAAAATATAATAATATCGTTGAGCTACCTGATTCAATAGGCATCTTGGTGCTTCTGCGGTATCTTGACCTTTCCTATACTTCCATCAAAAAGTTGCCTGATGCGACTTTCAAGCTTTACAATTTGCAGACCTTGAAATTATCGAACTGTGCATGTCTTACTGAGCTACCAGAGCAGATAGGAAATTTGGTCAATTTACGCCACCTTGATATCAGTGACACAAATTTGATGGAGATGCCAACACAGATATGTAGACTGCAAGATCTCCGTACATTGACTTCCTTCATTGTAGGCAAAAAAGATGGATTAAGCATAAGGGAATTAAGAAAATTTCCTTATCTGCAGGGTAAGCTTTCCATTTTCAAGCTACAAAAAGTTGTTGATCCTAGCGATGCATTCCAAGCCAACTTAAAGAACAAAGAGCAGATTGAGGAGCTTGTGCTGGGGTGGGGAAGCGACCCACAAGGTTCACAAACTGAGAAAGATGTACTTGACAACCTGCAACCATCTACCATGTTGAAGAAACTAAGCATCAGATACTACAACGGCACGAGTTTCCCAAAATGGCTGGGTGATTCTTCCTATTGCAATGTTAGGGTCATGCGTATCAATGACTGCAATTATTGCCTGTCACTTCCACCATTTGGACAATTACCTTCTCTTAAAGAGCTTGTCATTGTAAGGATGAAAATGGTGAAGACAGTTGGTAAGGAGTTCTATGGCAGCAATGCAAGTGCCCAATCCTTTCAGCCATTTCCATTGTTGGAAAGTCTCGAGTTTGTAGAGATGTTAGAGTGGGAGGAGTGGCTACCATTTGAAGGTGAACGTAGCAATTTTCCTTTTTCTTGTCTGAAGCGTTTGTGTTTATTCAAGTGCCCCATGTTGAGAGGAAACTTGCCCAACCATCTACCTTCGTTGAAAGAGGTTCTTATCAAAGAGTGCAACCAACTGGAGGCAAAATCATGCGATCTGCAGTGGAATGAATCAATTGAAGAAATGAGTGTTAAAGAGGGGGGAGAGGGGTTGTTGTCTTTGCTTGACAACTTGTCTTGTCGTCAACTATCAATTGAAAAATGTGACAGCTTGCAGTGTTTGCCAAGAATGATACTGAATGCCAACTGCCTTCAACTCTTGACTCTTACAAATATCAAGTCTTTAATTTCCCTCCCAACTGATGGTTTGCCCACGTCATTGCAATTACTTCGAATTGATGGCTGTGAGAAGTTAGAATTTGTGTGTGATGAAAGATGGCACAAATACACATCACTTGTGTACCTGGATATCTGGAGGAGTTGTGATTCGCTCGTGTTCTTTCCGATAGATTGCTTCCCAGCACTTCGATGCCTCAGTGTGAAAAATTGTCCCAACTTGGAAGCAATTAGTAATAAAGGTGGAAGGGCCTCTCCTAATTTATTAAATCGTTTTACTGTCCGTGATTGTAAGAAACTTAGGTCACTTCCAGAAGAGATGGATCTTCTTGCTCTTCAATGCTTGTACCTTTGTGAACTTCCAGCTGGTTGCCTTCCAAGCTGGTTGCCTTCCAGCTTACAAACACTTACTGTTGATGCTGGAATACTATCATGTATGTCTAAAGAAGAGTTAGTTTGCCAATTCCAACGCCTCACTTCTCTTTCAACTCTTTATCTTCGTGGTTTGGGGGATGAAGATGTGGTCAACACCTTGCTGAGGGAGCCATCACTGCCCACTTCTCTCGAGTTTCTGAGGCTATACAATTCTGATAGTTTAAAGTGGTTGGAAGGGAAAGGGCTTCAACATCTCACTTCTCTTACAGAGCTTGGCTTCTACGAATGTGGAAAGCTTGAGTCATTGCCAGAGGATCAACTGCCATCGTCCCTTGAATTACTATGGATGGTGAGGTGTCGATTACTGGAAGAAAGGTATGGAAATGAGAAAGGGAACCACTTCTCAAAGATTGCTCACATTCCTGCCATACGCATAAACGATCAATTCATAATATGAGCGCCTCATCCAAAGGGAATATAAATCAGCAATTTCTAACGTAATATAAATAAATCAGCAATGTGACTAAGTCCCAAGAAAATAACATTCAATGCAGTCATGCTATCATATTGTTCTTTCAACACAGAAGCTTTCATTTGAAGCAGCTGAACCCTTTCTATGTTATGAAGTTTAACAAAACTAATGATTTCTTAAGGTTAATATCATGTATTGAATTATTATTTGATGTGTAAGATGCGATAATTTTTTGTTATGAGAGTCAATATCCTTTAATATATTGATATTTATATGCTAAATTCAAGAATATGAAAAATAAATATTAATTTATGTGATCATGATATTGTTAGGGTTAAATTCAATATATTAAGGGAATAACTAGGTAAAATTCTAATTCAAATGCAAAGGAAAGATTATTTCCTTTTAAATTATTTTAATTTTTTTTCCTGGTTGTATTAATACGTTAGATTCTAATTTCTTCTATTTTAAACTAACATAAGAGAGTTTTACACTTTCGTCCAAAGTTTCGTAAGCCCTGAAAAAATCATGACTAATGAAATACTTTTGTAATTTATTCTACCTTTTTTTATCACTTTTTTTTTTCCGAGTATGCTGTGTATTTTGATATTAATTAATATATTTCCTTATATAGGTAGAAACTCAAAATAATAAAGTAAATTTATAATTCGATATTCTAAAATTTAGGATGATATTGCTTTTAATTTTTTGTAAAACAAGTTGTTAAATTTATATTGTTAAAATGTATTTATTATAATTTTTTTAACTTATTTTACTACAATTGTTTTAAAAATACAAAATTGTTAGCAAAATTGGTTTATGCAAAAAATTAAGGTGATGATAAAAAAAATTAGTGATAATTTTTTATCTTTAAAAGATTATTTTGATAAAAACTAACAAGTAATTGACCACTCAATAATTATGACCTAAAGAAAATGCAAATTTTTAATAGATTATTTGGTTTAAGGAAATATAGTCACAAAAAGGAAAATGCAAATTTTGATAAAAACTATTTTAGCCGTAATATTTTGTCTTCTAAAAAGATTATAAGGAATTCATGAACAGCAGAACACATCAACCATCTGTGTATTTAACGCTTGTTTCATGTTGATTTAGCTTCCTTTGTTTTCATGTTGTACCAGATTTGAAACTCTTCTCCTCAAAGGAAAAATTTCTTGTGCCTTTTACATTGAGAATGGAAAAATGATAAGACACACAGAACCCCAAAGCCACAATTCTTTATAAGACATCAACATCATGTTCTACTCTATTTACTCATTGTGTATCTATTGACTATGAGTTTATTGAACGATCTCAGTCATTTTAGTACTTAATAAGAAGACTTCTCAAAACTGAGATGAAATGGATTACGGAGCAACTAATTAAACTAATAAATTAATATTTGTTCAGTTTAACTACGAATTTAATTTTTTCTTGATTATAATATTTGTTCAATTTAAAATTCATAAATCTATATAAATTGATTTGTACAGAAAGGTCAGGTTGGTGACACAAAATTCATAAATCTATATTAAAATTCACTAGGGTGATTCAAATCTCTTCAAAGATTCCAATAAGGCCATAAAATTGTATACTTGGGCAAAGAAATGTTCTCTTTATATAAATATTGGTATATTTATTTAACACATTTGACATTGTAATTGTCAATATACAAAAATACGTTTCGTATATATACAATGAGTCATGTCACAGTATAGAGTGTAGATAAATTTATGCGATGATTAGGTTGTTTCAATTGAAACAAAAATATAGTTAAATATCTTACTCTACATCGTTAATTAGTGTTACTAATTAGAAGTTTTTTTTTTTTTTTTAATATAGCAATTGTATCACAAACAGAAATCTTGTTGTTTTAGGGTAATTTTTTCTTTATATTACTATTAAATAGTTAATTATATATTGTTGTATTCAGTCAATTTCCTTCAAAACATTGATGTGATAATTTGTAAAAATTTTAATTTGATATAAATCAAAATAAAACTTCTATAAATGTAAAATTATTAATTCAATGTTTAAATTTTCAATTGATGCGAATTTGTGATGCTATCTACATGAGTTAGTAGATTATGTGATGTGTACACAGTTAGAGATATTCCAAAAATTATAGGTTTGTGAAGTTTTTAATTTTGCTTTTAAGTCTTCAAAATATTTTGGACTCACAAACTCTTAAAAATTCATATTTACAAATATATCCTTGATTTATAAAATAACATATCACACTATTTAAATCCTTAACTTCAATACTAATGGTAAGATCTCTCTGGACATTTTGCTTTGCCTATAGCAATTCTCTCTTTTTTACTTTTACCAGTGGGTGAGACATTTGTTTTCATTTTTTTTCTTAATTTTATAGCCAATCATTTTTATTATTTGTAAGGAATATTTCAAACAAAACACGTCAACTGTGAGGCTTCAGTTATTTCAATCATCAGATTGGAGACATCTATCTGCACAAAGTTATTGCATGCCTGTGTATAATTTAAGTTCCGACGAAGCATCAACCATCCACTGCTGCCATTTGAAAAATGATCAATTATATACTCCTCAAGTGTACATTGAGTTTTACATGTACTGAGATAGAAATACATCTTATTATATTTACTCATTATGTATCCATTGATCATGGATTTATCTAATATTGATCTCAGTCATTTTAATACTTAAGAAGACTTCTAAAAATTGAGAATATGATATAGATTGTGGAGCACCTAACTAGACTATTAAATTGAAGTCTCTAACAACTTAACTTTGGGGAATTGTGATATCTGTTCAATTTCAAATTCATAAATCTATAAAAACTATCTAATTAACTTTGGAGCACCTGTCTGAGCTTTTTTTCTGATTTTTGCCTATATTAGTTGAATTTTGATATTGCCATGTGCCACCAATTCTCGTGATATAACCCAACAAATAGCTTTACCACGATGCATTTTTCCAACTACTGTTATGCTTTGTACTTACTAGAAATCACACGGTAGATGGATACATTAAAAGGTTGAAATGCAAAGTGGGTGGTCACTTTCAAGGAAATAATAGTGTTTGCTATTGATTATAGCAAAAAAGTCCCTTTCTTAAATTGAGTCTTCAACTTCGGTATTTTGCTTAGTTTGTACAACCAACGCAAATAAAAATAATAGCATTATTGAGGCATCTAAAAATATTTAATGTTATATTTAAATGATAGAATAAAAGGCATTATTTTCGGAATTAGAACAAGGAAAATAAGTTTTTATTAGAGAAAAGGATAACATAGATTACCTACACGATGGATCGTGTATTAACTAAGAACCGTAGTATTAAAATCAAGACTGCTATTTTAATTAGCTTACATTACGTTAAAGAAAAATTTAAAATAAAAATATTCATTGAAGAAAGTTTTGTTAGAAATGTAGTTATTAAGTAAATAGAAAATACACATGCACTTTACTGCAAATACAACGATCACCATAGTTTTTGGTCAGTCAACGTTTAGAAAAACAAATGGAAAAAAACAAAGATGTTCACGCGCTTAAAACAGTGAGTGTGAAACCAGAACATTGTTGACTAGACTTCAGCACTATAATACCTCAAATTTTCACCACCTCGTGTATCTCGTTCAGCATTTAGCAAGAGATCTAGAGTTGTGATACAGTTTGGAAAACAAGAGAAGAAATGGCCTTGGCTTTGGTGGGAGAGGCATTAATCTCTGCTTCTGTGGACATCTTGTTAGATAGAATAACTTCTACAGAGTTTCGAGATTTCTTTGCCAGCAGGAGGCTCAATGTTTCTCTGTTAGATGAGCTGAGGATAAAGCTGCTTGCACTTAATGCTGTGCTCAATGATGCTGAGGAGAAGCAGATCACTGATCTTGCTGTGAAGGCATGGCTTGATGAGTTGAAAGATGCTGTCTTGGATGCAGAAGATGTGTTGGATGAAATCAACACTGAATCTTTGAGATGCAAGGTGGAGGGAGAATCTAAAAGCTTTACTACCCAGGTGAGATCATTACTTTATTCCCCCTTTAATCAATTTTATAGGAGCATGAATTCCAAGCTTGAAGCAATATCGGGAAGGCTAGAACATTTTGTGAAACAGAAAGATATTCTTTGTTTGCAAAGTGTTTCTAGGAGAGTCTCTTATACCAAAATTACAGATTCGTTGGTTGAACCTGTTGTGGTTGCTAGAGAGGATGACAAAGACAAGTTACTGAACATGCTTCTATCTGGTGACGATGATGAGAGCTATAATAATATAGAAGTGATAGCAATATGGGGCATGGGGGGTCTGGGCAAAACAACCCTTGCTCAATACGTTTACAATGACAGCAAAGTGCGTGAATATTTTGATTTGAAAGCTTGGGCGTGGGTGTCTGATGATTTTGATGTTTCAAGGGTAACGAAGAAAATTATTGAGTCTGTCACATCTGAAGATTGTAATATTACTAATCTAGATGTTCTTCGTGTTGAACTAGAGAACAACTTAAAAGATAAGAAGTTTTTGCTTGTGCTTGATGACCTTTGGAATGACAAGTATAATGACTGGCATCACCTAACAGCTCCTTTCAGCAGTGGAAAAAAGGGAAGTAAGATCATTGTGACAACCAGACAACAGAGAGTTGCACAGATCACACATACACTTCACATTCATGAGCTGAAGAATCTAACGGATGAAAATTGTTGGCACATACTGGCAACTCATGCATTCGGAAAAGAAGGTTATGACAAATATCCGTACCTTGAAGAAATTGGTAGAAAAATTGCAAGAAAATGCAATGGCCTACCATTAGCTGCTAAAACTTTGGGAGGTCTTCTGCGGTCTAAAGTTGATGCAGAGGAATGGAACAGAATTGAGAACAGTAACTTATGGGCACATGACGATGTTTTACCAGCTTTACGCATAAGTTATCTTCATCTTCCAGCTCAATTGAAAAGATGTTTTGCCTATTGTTCAATTTTTCCAAAACAGTATTTGTTGGATAGGAAGGAGTTAATCTTGTTATGGATGGGTGAAGGCTTTCTGCAACGATCCAAAGGAGGTCAAGCAATGGAATCTATAGGTGCAGAATGCTTTAATGAATTATTATTGAGATCCTTAATTGAAAAGGTCAAAGCTGAAACAGAGGAAAAGTTTCGAATGCATGACCTCATTTATGATTTAGCTAGACTTGTGTCTGGAACAAGTTCTTGCTACATTGAAGACGGTGAAATCCCAAGAACTGGTCGCCATTTATCATTTCTTAGAGAGTGGTACGATGTCTCTAAAAGATTTCAGGGCTTGAACGAGCTAAAGTGTTTGCGCACCTTTCTACCACAATCTCTATACATTATTAGGACATATTACTTGACCAAGTCAGTGTTGCATGGTTGGTTGCCAAAACTAAGTTGTTTGCGAATTTTATCATTGTCCATGTACAAAAATATCACTGACCTACCTGAGTCAATTGGCATCTTGGTGCTTCTGCGGTATCTTGACCTTTCCTACACTTCCATCAAAAGGCTGCCTGATGCAACCTTCAAGCTTTACAATCTGCAGACTTTGAAATTATCAAACTGTAAATCTCTTGTTGAGCTACCAGCACAGATAGGAAATTTGGTCAATCTGCGCCACCTTGATATCAGTGACACAAATTTGATGGAGATGCCAATAGAGATATGCAGATTACAAGATCTCTGTTCATTGTCTTCCTTCATTGTAGGCAAAGAAGATGGATTAAGGATCAGTGAATTAAGAAAATTTCCTCATCTACAGGGTAAGCTTTCCATTTTGAATCTGTACAATGTTTCTGACCCCAGCGATGCATTTCAAGCAAATTTAAAGAATAAAGAGCAGATCGAGGAGCTTATGCTAGAGTGGAGCAGCGACCCACAAGATTCACAAACTGAGAAATATGTACTTGACAACTTGCAACCTTCAATGATGTTAAAGAAACTGGGCATCAAATACTATAATGGGACAAGTTTCCCAAATTGGCTGAGTGATTCTTCGTATTGTAATGTTCGAGTCCTGTGGATCAGTGACTGCAACTACTGCCTGTCACTTCCGCCATTTGGACAATTACCTTCTCTCAAGGAGCTTGTCATTAAAAGGATGAAAATGGTGAAGACAGTTGGTCAGGAGTTCTATTGCAGCAACGCAAGTTCCCAATCCTTTCAGCCATTCCCATTGTTGGAAAGTCTCGAGTTTGAAGAGATGTCAGAGTGGGAGGAGTGGGTACCATTTGAAGGTAGCAACTTTCCTTTTCCTTGTCTGAAGAGTTTGTGTTTATCCAAATGTCCCTTGTTGAGAGGAAACTTGCCCAACCGCCTACCTTCATTGATACAGGTTCTTATGGAAGAGTGCAACCAATTAGATGGGTTCGTATCAATTGAAAAGTGTGACAGCTTGCAGTGTTTGCCAAGAATGATACTCAATGCCAACTGCCTTCGAGACTTGACTCTCAGAAATATCAAGTCTTCGATTTCCCTCCCAACTGATGGTTTGCCCACGTCATTGCAATCACTTGACATTGGTGGCTGTGAGAGGTTAGAATTTATGTGTGATGAAAGATGGCACAAATACACATCACTTGAATACCTGAGAATCTCTAAGAAGAGTTGTGATTCACTCATGTCCTTTCCATTAGATTGTTTCCCAGCTCTTCTATTCCTTGGTATCCATAACTGTCCCAACTTGGAAGCAATTACTAATAAAAGTGGAAGGGTCTCTCATAATTTTTTAAATTATTTTTTTGTCACTGATTGTAAAAAACTTAGGTCACTTCCAGAAGAGATGAATCTCCCTGCCCTTGAATACTTGAACCTTAAAGACCTTCCAGAGTTAGCGTCATTGTCCCCAGAGTGGTTGCCTTCCAGTTTACGACGTCTTTTTGTTGATGTTGGAATAGTATCATTATCATGTATGTCTAAACAAGAGTTAGTTTGCCGATTCCAACGCCTCACTTCTTTGTCAGAGCTTTTTCTATATGGTTTGGGGGGTGAAGAAGTGGTAAACACCTTGCTGAGGGAGCCATCACTGCCCACTTCTCTCACGTATCTACGGCTATCCTATTTTGATGGTTTAAAGCGGTTGGAAGGGAAAGGGCTTCAACATCTCACTTCTCTGAAAACACTTTACATCTTCGAATGTGGAAGCCTCGAGTCATTGCCAGAGGATCAACTGCCATCGTCTCTTGAATTACTGTGTATAATCTCTTGTCCATTGCTAGAAGAAAGGTATGGAAATGAGAAAGGGAAACACTTCACAAAGATTGCTCACATTCCTGCCATTCAAATAAACGATCAAGTCATAATATGATTACATGAGCGCCTCATCCAAAGGTAAACCCTTCAAATATTTTTATTAAAAACAATTTCTAACGTAATATAAATAAATCAGCAGTGGGGCTAAGTCCCAAAAAATAAACAACTTAACCGTGAAAAATGGTTTGCGGATCGACCTTTTTGTGTTAAATCATATTTTGAGACCTGTAATTAATTTGTTAAAATTAGTTTTTATGGTTAATAGCAAAAAAATTAGTTCTTATGGTTAATATTAAATAACTGAATATCATTTTTTTTATTTAAAAAATACTATATTTATTAACTTATTATCCTCTTGCTTTAAAGAAAAAACAATATTTACAAACAAAATCTAATGATTTATTTACAAACTCATACAATTTGATTCAATTAAATGAATTGTTATTTTTTGCAAAATTCTGAAAAAAAAAATTATGACAAATTGGTGTTTATTGTCTTGTTTTTGGACTAATTTATTGATGATATTTCTTTGTTTCTTGATCAATACAGTTGGTAAATAAGCTGTGGAACGTGTGTTTATTGATATTTTCTAGCTCTGATGGTGCACTTCATAACATTCAGTGCAATCATGCTATCATATTGTTCTTTCAACACAGAAGCTTTCATTTGAAGGAGCTGAACCCTTTCTATGTTATAAAGTTTAACAAAACTAATGATTTCTTAAGGTTAATATCATGTATTGAATTATTTTTTGATGTGTAAGATGCGATAATTTTTTATCATGAGAGTCAATATCCTTTAATATATTGATATTTATATGCTAAATAAAAGAATATAAAAAATGAAAATTAATTTATGTGATCATGATATTATTAGGGTTAAATTCAATATATTAAGGGAATAACTAGGTAGAATGCTAATTCAAATGCAAAGGAAAGATTATTTCGTCTTAAATTACTTTAATTTTTTTCCTGCTTGTATAATATGTTAGGTTCTAAATTTTTTCTGTTTTAAACTAACATAAGAGAGTTTTACACTTCTCGTACAAAGCTTCATGAATAATGAAATACATTTGTAACTTACCTTTTTCATCACTTTTTTAGAGTATGCTGTGTATTTTGATATTATTTGATTATATTGCCTTATATGGGTAGAAACTCAAAATAATAAAGTAAATTTATAATTTGATATTCTAAAATTTAGGATGATATTGCTTTTAACTTTTTTTGTAAAAAAAGTTAAATTTATAATGTGAAAATGTATTTATTATAATTTTTTTAACTTATTTTACTACAATTGTTCTAAAAATACAAAATTGTTGGCAAATTGGTTTTTGCAAATAATTAAGGTGATGATAAAAAAAAATTAGTCATAATTTTTTATCTTTAAAAGATTATTTTGATAAAAAAAGAAAACAAATAATTGACCACTCAATGATTATGACCTAAAGAAAAATGCAAATTTTTAATAGATTATTTGGTTTAAGAAAATATAGTCACAAAAAAGAAGTTAACATGTACTTGTTTGACCACAATCTTAAGTGATGATTGAAAAAAGGGATAAAAAGAATTGTTTCAAGTACAATTGATGATTTTACTGCATGTCTTTGTGTGAAATCCTTATATTCTACTCTATCGAAATATAACTTTTGAAACTTATAAGTTCACTTCTATCAATTTATTTTGTTGTAAATAATCACTAGAATAATACGGGGAAAAAAATAGCTATCAAGACTTCTTTTCATGTTACAGCTTATGCAAAATAAAGTTGATAATTTTAGTCATTCTAATCATCAAAGACACAAATCAAAAAATTACTAACAATACTTGAGAAGTTGTATGTAAAATAGAGGAAAATAATTTGATGTCTCAAAATCATGATCCATTAATGAATATCAGCATTACAATTAGTACCAACTGGGTTAAAAATGTGAAAAATATGGCTTCTCTTTTATCCTTGCTTGACTTCATCTTGAATCTAAGGCTCTCTTATGGCATAAAATTGGAAAAAATAAATTCAAATGAATAGTGGTATTAGAAGTTTGATATCCTTACAAAATTTTTGTTTTATAGAGATAAATCATGATAGACTAGAACTTATTAAAGAGTTAGGAAAGTTGAAATAGTTAAAGTTATTATGGTTGAATCTTCTTAGGAAAGAATATAAAAGTGTTATTTGTGTCTCGGTGGATGATAGACATAACTTGATGACTTAATAAAATAAATTATATCAACTGCTTACTTTGGTGAATAAAACAACACTAATTAAGTCCAATTGCACTTACATAACATGTTTAACTTCAACTTAACCATATCACTTACACAGGAAGCTACTACTAGACGGGATTATAAAGTTATTTGTATACTGTGAGTCTAAATATCTTTCTTACATATAAAAGTGATTACTATTAAAAAAAATAGTACAAGCTAATTTGTTAATTCTTAAAATTAATGCTTTGACAAAAAGTTAATGTGCATTGCAATACAACAATACATGATTTCAACTTTCAACCTGTCTATTTTATAAAAACTTTTTAAAATTATTTGTGGTCCTTTAATATAAGGCCTTTTACAAAAACTTCAAAGCATTTACCATAGAAAAGTTGACTTTATCTAGAAAAAAAACTTGAAATATTATAATTAATTTTTCAAAAATCAATGTATTAACTACTAAGAACTTTTTTAATGTGTAATTTAGTTGAAAGATTCTTATTATAAAAAATATTGGAAATTGTGTAAAATTAATACAAATCATACTTTTTCAAAATAGAAACTTTGAATTTATTTGTAACGTACCTTTTTGGGAAAAACACAAATTAAAAAGTATGAAGTTATAATTATTGGATGTCCCTTACTAATGAATGTTTCTAACAGTTGACTGAACAATTAGTGGAGTAATTATGGAGTAGAATCAAAATTTTGAAGAATAAATATTGGCATGGAATATTGATTACAATAGTATTTGGAACAATCACAATTGGTAGTCAAATTTTTCAGAAGGGAGAGAAAAAATGTAGGGATTGGAGCTAAACAACTTTCAAGTTTTAAATTTGTCAAAGATGGAGTCGCAAGGTTCCAAGCCATTGATTTGGTCTTGGCCATATGCAGCAATTAGTAAAGCTTCTGCCCTTCCTGAAATATGAGAAATTTATGAAAAATCAAAGCACATTCAAAGGTGGATAATAGCAAACAAGAAAAAGAATCACCACGGATACAAAAAGGATTCTTGACTTGGGTAATATAGCATGTGTAGAGAAACTCTCAAGTTCAATGATAAAAAAGGAGTCACTCACATTCCGATACTCCTTTCAACACTCTTTCTATTATTGGATGAAAATATCATGTTGGGTTCACTGAACAACCTGAGCTGATTCAATATTAGTGAGGTCAACATGAAATTTTACCTTATATTATGCATATGGAAAAGATTCTCCATTCATTAACTTAAGCTGCTGGTTAAGCGGGAACTTTCCAAATTTTTAGTAAACTTATAAATTTGTTGACATTAATGGCTAGGAAAGATCAAAGGTCATTGCTTATGGACAGGGAGTGACTATTAACATTAATAGAATATACAACAAGTGAACAAACTATGACTTTTTGGGGTTTCTGGTCAATGCAAATTACCAATAAAATATAAATTTGCATCCACCTCTCCCTGAAAAAAAAGGAAAGGGGGAGAGGAGGAACCAACCAGAAGCTGCAATAAGACCCACATTAACATGGCAGTGGGAGGACCTTCTCAGTGATGTAATATATCAGAAAGTGCTGGAATATAAGGCAATTTAATAAATTGTATCTTTAAAATTTCAGCAGCAGAATTTTGTGATGAATAAAAGCAATGTATGATTTCAAGGACTTGGGTTAGTTCCATTAGCAGTCTCGTTCTATACATTTTGAAAACACTTTATGATCATCCACCAGCTTTGTAGTTAATATAGGACTAAATGAGAGAAGTACCATGATCTTTTTTCCTACTTAACATGGAAGTCACCGAAGGAAATAATGTGGAAGCAACTCTCCTGCTATCATCCTGCAGTATAAAATTTCCAACAGCTATTAGTAACCAATGTCAACAATATTTAGGAAACATTCATGTAGAACACATATTGCAGAATATACAGTGAATGGTGAAATATCAAAATCATGTTACATAAATTTCCTTCAAGGAAGCTAAGACCCACAATAGATTAAAATGAGTTTGTTTCCCATCAAACTAAAGTCAACTAAAGAGAAAATTAAGGAAAATAATTCTGTAGTAGTACCATAGTAGTCAATCCTGAATAGTGACCAAGAGCAGCCAACCTCAAAAACACTATAGCGGAATTGCAAACAGAGGTTCTCAGAAGTCAAACCAAAACAGAGAAGAAAAATACAACAAAACAAAGTAGTCCACTAGAACAAGCCCTCAACACAGGTGATCTTGCTGAAAAATGTGTGGGTATTGTTAGAAACATAGTACTCAATCCTGGATAGCAGTGCAAAGCGGCTAAACCCAAAAGTATTATAGCAAGATAGCAAATAGTGGAATGACTGTTATTCTAAAGTTTTAATATACCTAATATAAATAAAGTTACACTTGTATAAAATAAAAAACAGAGAAGGAAAATAGAGAACAGAGAATGGTCAGTCACCGAAAAATGTTTAGGTTCATCGAAAGTTTCACCAAAGATGAAGTTGACTAGCAAATGTCTAGGTCATGGCGGAAGCTTCGCTGGAGTTGAAGAAAATGATTGGAAATGAAGATGGCCAGAAAATTTTTAGGTCACGTTGGAAGCTTCGCTAGAGATGAAAGACACTAGAAACAGGAGGATGTTGCAAAGAACAAAGATGAACGAAAACGAGAGGAGAACTAAGAGAGCTTAGGGTTAGCTGGATGAGGGAGAAGAAGATATCAGAATGTAAAAAGGAGCAAAATCCCAAGATTGACCTCATTAAAAGTCACCCAACGTTCAAAAAGAGAGGATAAATTAGGGATTTGACCTAGGATGAAATAGCAACCGCAATGGTTGCGATTTTCTCTGTTTTCTGCCCAATCCGCGGTGCAACGATTGCTACAATGAAATGCAACACCAATGGGATAGTGGCATCCTGCTGCTCTTCTCCTCAGTGATAGCAGCCACTATTGACTACTATGGTTGGAAATGAAGAAAATCACTATAACTTAACTGAATATAGTGAACAAAGATAGATTTTAGTTAAGAAGTAACCCCTAACGCAAATGGGTCACGTTAGAAATGAGTAGGTCTCACCGGAGATGAAGATAACCCGAATTTAGCCAGAAAAAGACTTTGGCTACTGTGAAGCTTGTTGGACAAAGCAAAAGTTGCCGAAGATGGTCAATGGGAGCACTTAGGATTCAAGAGTAGAGTTTGAATCATACAACATGTAAAAATTGACAATGACAAGGGGGAGAATAGTAGTACATAATTATATTTATGCATAATAACTATTCTATTATGAATGATTAGTGATCAATTATTCTATAGATGGTTGTTTGGCAGCATGTATTCTCTTTCTCAAGCAAGGTAATTGTTAGGGTCCAATTGCAAGGTACGGGACTTGAGTAACACATTGGAAGTGGAGTTATAAGGCTTTAAGCTCTCCAACTACAACATTATGATGTGATTCTCCCAACGTTCTCATCAATTGGCATTATGTCTTCCAACTGCAAATGAGCAACACAGGTGATGACACCAACATTGCAGTGTTCATAATGGACTAGTCAAAGGAACTAGTGCACAGCCAGCTCGCATGAGAGTCAGGCTACGAAGCATGGTGGGATGCTAGGATTCAATTGCAAGGAATGGGACCTGAATCTCACATTGGAAGTATGGGACTCAGCATGATGGAATGTTAGGATCCAATTGCAGGGTATAAAACTTGACTCTCACATTGCAAGTACGGGATTCCAATGTGGGGGGGTTTATAAAGCCTTGGACTCTCCAATTACAACTAGCTTTTGTGGTGTGGTTCTCTTAAGGTTCATATCAATAGTCAACAATCAACACAAGCATAATTTTACATCAAATGCAAGTATCTTAACCACAACAAGTGAACTCCAAAAGGTCAACATCAAACATCACCTGTGAACATCACATATGCACATTTGTTATTCAAAATCAACTAATTAGGAAGTATTTGAAGAGATTTAGGCAGTTTTAGGAAACAAAACATAACATTTGTTCTCTTAGGCAACTGCAAAATCACAATTATGAAGTTGGAGACAAGACAGGCTACATAAATAAATAGCTAAACTCAAAAAATTCTTAATAGTCTGCCATTTGTTTACCATCTATTACATACTTCAAAATGTGTACCTTCTCCAAAGACACATTAAATTTATTATGATTCATAAGATGCACCAGGGAATCCATTGATCTGCCAAGATACACTTTCAAATTCAATTAAAATTCCAGTGGAAGCAGACACACAAGACAAACTATGTATCACTTATTCTCAGGTCCAACAGCATAGAAGATATGACATTGATATCTACAATGCGAGCCAACAGCTGCATTTATAGTCATTAAAAATAGCCCCTAGTTAAATTACTTTCAATCTGAAAGTTGCACAGAATAAAAGATGTTATGGTAATGTGATGTTAGCTTCATGAATGATATCAGCATAAACATCAAAAGAGAAACCACAAAGGGCTAAAATTTAATGGAGTAGCAGAAGAAACCAATGGATGCTACCTTTTTATGTTTCTAGGGGGAATAAAAATTGCCATGTCTGCATTCTTTTTCTATTTTGAATTTGAATTAAAAGTCATTTCATGAATTATTCACCATCCTTTTGATCAGCAATACCCAGGGGAAATCAGAGTAGGTTTGTTTCCTCTCCATTTTTGCACTCCCCTTTGCCAACGACTCAAGCTCATTTCCCAACCCATTTGTCTCTACATAATCATCTCAGAATATGCAAAATGTTAAGTATTTCCTTAATTATTATTAGTTCCAACTAACATAACATTTTTTTTCTTTCTTTGATAGGAAAACAAACTTCATATTTGCCTGTAGTACTAACTATTGGAAATAATAAAGAAAGAAAGTGTAGTTAGGACCAAGCCAACCTTTGCAGTCCTGCTTCCAGAGAGTTCAAATTTTGCTTTCCAAGTAAAAGATGGCACTGGAATAACAGAAAAACCTGAGGCAACTAAGATGCCAATCCACAGCCCATACCCAAATCCTCCACTCCACCAGCCCTTGAATGCATGAGATGGATAAAAAATGTTAATCTGAAGTAAATAAATAAATAAAATGCATTTTTCAAAATATTAATACAATCAAACTAAGGACACAATCGAATGATTACAATTTACTACTGAAAATAGATTATAGAACAAAGCAAACTACATCCATGTCGTCAAAGACAAATCACCAAAAGTAACAAATTTAAATATTAAACACTCATCATTGCCAATTTCTAGATCTCACTTCCAGTCATTATTATCATATAATACATCGCTTAAACTTGATTGGGACCAATCTTCGCAAGAAGTTCCAAGTCCCCAACAAATATGTTAACTAGGAAAAGGCTGGTCTTGTTAAAAATGAGTTTCTTTCAGAGAAGCAATATTCATCTTAATCAGTACATGGTATTAGCAGTGAATACTTTCAACAGCCAATATCCCAGCCCATCCAACATATATCAACCTCATACATTGCCTTAAAAAGCTCACACTAAACAACACAACCATCACACTCATTTGATTATAGTGAAGATTTGAGCGGTAGAATAAATTTTGTTGCCACTCAAGGAAAATGTTTTACTCAAGCTTGAAAGGAAAAGCAATTTATACACTGAAATTCTTTATACAGAACACTTCAAAATATCTTCTAGTTTGAGTAAGCATACAAACCTGCTTTCCATCTTGTGGATAAGGGAGCGACTGCTCTATATATGCTGTGGTTCCTAATGAAATCAAGAGTCAATTTGCAAATAGCCAACCATAAACAGTGTCAACCTTCAAAAGAAATATTAAAAACCAAAATAATACTTTAAATATTACTGTAGCAAGCTGAATAATTACCATGATAGTATAAATTACACTGCCAAAGAATGAAAAGAATACACCCCATTGATCACAGAAATGCTATCAAACCAGCAGATTGAGAAATGTGATAGGAAAAGCAAAGGAAGTATGAAATACCATCAATTTATACTTCATCCAATTGTATTTTACACAACTACACATGAAAAAGGTTATTAATCTTTCTGCTTAGCAAACATATAACATAAAAGGGTAAAATCAATTTAACTTTTTAAACGTAAGATATAAATTTGTGACTTAGACCTACCAAAACTTATGCACTGTCAAGTGGAGAGTAGTAAATATAACCATTGTTGTTAAAATCAGGAGTTGAATCATAAAATCATGCGATTTTACAATTTTGGAAGGTAGAATGATTCAGATTGCAGCAAAAATCATTCCCAGGCAAAATCAAGATTTAAAATGTAAAATTGGTAAAATCAAGATTTCTCACCAATTTCATGAAATGCCGGGTTTGGATCCAGATATTGGCCCAATTCGTTCATAACTCAATGGATATGGCCCAATTTTGAATGACCCAACAGGCCAACATATATTTTTGCTCAAACCTATGTCCCAACCTCCTAAACTTAATCATGCCTCCTTTTCTTTCTTCCTCGAACCCTAGACAACACAATCGACAATGTGCAACCTGGTTTGCAGCCGACCATTACTGTCTTCTTCACAACTTTTTCAAAGTTTCCTCAGCTCCAATCTTGCTCTGTTTTTCTTATCATGTTTGAGTCTGAAAATGGGTTCAAACACAGGTGCTGGTCAAAGCTCAGGTGGTGGCAGTTCTGGCTCTGTCCCAACTGCGACTAACAGCTCCACTGCTGCTGGCTCTTCAAGTTTATTTAAGTGCTTTTAGTGATTAAATTTTTTTTTTAATTTATGCTATTTTATATGCATGATATGAATTTATATGCTTGTGCATATGATTTTTGTAAAAATTTATGATTCAATTTACAATTTTTAGTCCCATTTGTGATTTGAAGTAAAATACCAATTTTAACTACCTTAAATACAACAATAAGCTTTAGAATACTAAGATAAGATCATACAATGATTCCAAACACTATCTATACCGCTGATTGGGTATATTTACTTAAACTACTTTCTGTCTATTGATCCTATAACTCCAGTCCACATTTTTGCATTCCAGAAAATCATCAATAAAATATTAAGCGTACACAAGTTGACAAAGATTCTCACAAGAAATCAAATTAGTAGGCTTGGCTCTACATCAGTCACAATATCAACATAATAAGATTCTTACAAGATTCTAATATCAGCCTCAACACATGATAGTAATCTTAGATGGTAAAAAAATAGAGAAGACCAAAAGTCAAGACTTTAGCATCACAGGAAGACTAACAACTGTAACAAAATGTCAAAACAGATAATCAAACCAAATTTTTCATATTAGTATAAATAGAAGCAAATAATTAGTTGAAGCACAGCCATAAACAGAAGCCTAGGAAAAGGTCTGCACATTTATGTAGAGATAAAAATAGAGATCATAGTATACCGATTGGAGCTTCAAAACTACGAACCAACTGAACAACAGATTTGGTATCTAAGCGTCTTCGAGTTCTTTTGTTCTTCCCAACAAGTATTTTCACATGAGGAGAGTCAAATACCTGCATTTGTTGCACTAAAATGATATAACATCCTTCACAAAAATGGAGATAAATTTCTGATCAGAATCTACAGCATCTGTTTAAAAATGAATCATGGGACCTAGATCTAGATGATCTAATGCCAAACCAATTTAAAACATTTGACAGGACTATAGCATACTTTTAATAAATGCCTTTTCTTTCTTTACGTATTAAAAAGGTCAACTCCTTTATTATAGCATGTAAACAACTTATGACTAAGAGAAAAGGAAGCAAAACCTATAAACTGAAGCTCCTTAACCTTATTGTAGATGACGAGTTCATGTTTTGTTTCATCCCATCTCAAGAGTTTTGTTTCCTTTTATCTTCTTTGTTTGTTGAGAAAGTTGATTGTATACACCTATGAAGAAATACCGTGAGGTATTTGGGTTTATTTGGGATTCAGGTTTTGAGTGAAGTGTATTGTCCCCTATGTATTTTCCACCATATTCATTTGACTTGCAGAAGAAAATGGAGGACTAAAGTCTAGACCATATAAAATTATAGTTCTGTTTTTTATTTTAAAAATGGTCATGGAGTAGCACAAAAGAGGATAAAATCACAAAAAGTGAAAATTTGTGATAAACTAAGGGAAAAAAATTTTGTCCCATGCAGAACATTACTATGAAGACAAAAATACCCAACCCACTCCCATTCCCATATCAAAACTATCACCACAACTGTCACCACCACCACTATTGTTGTCACCTCTACCATTGTTGTCGCAGCTGCCACCACCACCATTGTATATGTCAAAGGAAATTGTAGGGAATTTTGCATTGTTCTGTCTAATACCTATACTTATGCATATCAAACACCATACATCACAAAATCACGTGAGTTATGCGTCAACCACCAAACAATAAACAAAACAAAGGTTGTGTTATGACTCAATTACTAATTGTACCATATTTTTATGCTTCTGTGTCTTTTAATATGCATCAAACTCACCCTAAAGAGTAACATTGTACATTGCATCAGTCATCCATCCATCGACCTAACTTGAATTGTGGAAAGTCTGTATGATGGCTGTCTTAACACAACAAAATTTGAAAATAACAATTTCTGAAAAGAAGATTGCTACAATGAATGATACTAATTGTGATGAAATTGACACAAAGGATATTTCTACTATTCAAATGTGCATAATTGACAATGTATTATGGGTAGTTGTACCAGGGAAAACAGCGGCAGCTTAGTGAACCAAATTGGAGTCTCTTTATATGAAAAAGACAGTGGTCAACTATCTTAATTTATTGCAAAGTTTGTATACACTTTGTATGGAATCCATACTATGTATTAAAAGAAGTCTATAGAGTTCACTTCACTCAATATGGAATTAAAAAATACGAAAGAGGCATTCTCTAATGAGTAACAAGTAATGATGTTGCTTTCCTCTCTACCTTCCTTTAGGGAGACACTTGCATATGGACATGAAAGTGTAAATATTGATGAGTTAAATCCTCTCTATTGAGTTGAGAAGATAGAGCATGATAATGGTAGTCGTGATAACCCAACAGCTGGCTTGTTTGCTAAAGAAAGATCTAGAAAGGTTGGCTCAAGTAGCTCAAGTAGAAGCATGTCTAAATCAAAATTTAGATATGGTAAAGAAAGTGCAGATACTGCAAGAAAGGGCATTGGAAAGCTAAATGTCCTAGACTTAAATAAAAGAATGAGGTTAGTACAAGTACTCTAGATTCTAGAAGGCATAGTTGAACTTGAAAGTGCCAAAAATATTCTCTTTGTATCAATTCGTTTAGTTGGTGATGCATAAATTATTAATTCTTCTTGCTCTTACCACATGTCTAAGTACTTCCCTATAGGCATAGATTTATATCAAGGCTCTGTCTTCAGTCCTTACTTATTTAACCTAGTTTTAGATGTGCTTACATATTACATAAATAAAATTATCCCTAAGTGTATGTTATTTTGAGGTGACATAGTATTAGTTGGAAAATTAAAAAAAAAGATTAGTATTAAACTTGAGTTATGGAAAGATACTTTGGATCTAAGAATGTTTACTTGAATAGAAGTAAGATAAAGTATATGTATTACATTTTTAACAAAAAACAAGATATCATGCTTTAAAAGTTAAAATTAAAAATCATATTATCCCATAAGTCTTCAAGTTTGGGTACTTGGAATTGATTCTATAGAATGATAGAGAAATTAATAAAAAAGTTACTTATAGAATAAGTTGGATGGTTAAAGTAGAGAATCGCATCAGGAGTTATTTGTGACCATAAAGTATTTATCAAGCTAAAAGATAAGTTTAACTGTATTGCAATATGATCAACTATCCTATATGATAGTGAATGTTAGATCTTAAAAGAACAATACAAAAAAAAAAAGTAAAAGTAACATAAATGAAAATGTTAAAGTGGATGAGTAATCATATGAGAAACAACAAGATAAAATATAATTGTATATGCGAGAATAGTATAGTAGCACCTATAGTTGAAAATATAACTAGAAGTCGTCTACAATGATTTAATCACGTGCAAAGAAAACAACTAGAAGCACCAATAAGAAGAGTAGATAGCATAACTTTTAATTTGGTAAAAAGAGGAAGAAGACCCAAAAGAACTTTAAAAGAAGTTATTAAAACAAATCTATCAATAAATAATATTTTTGAGAATTTGATTTTGAATCGAACTTAATACCATTGTATGACTCAAATGGCTAATTTCATCGAATAGGATAAGGCTAAGTTTTTGTTATTGTTGTTTTGATTCATAAGGGTATAAGTATTCTGCTAAAAATAGAATTATTATAATCTCTAAAGCTGCTCTTATTGTTATAAATGAAAATTAGTCAATGGTCTATGCTTATTCAAAGGTAGCACAATTGTTAGGAATATAGCCTTTCCATGATTTAGATTATAATACTGCTCATTTGTGTCAAGGCTGGAATGTCTACTTTAAGTAGTAAATATGACTTATTAGGTAATAATAAAATTGAGAAGCTTGATTTTCAAGAACATAATGTCTACGGAAAGCAAACCAAACTCAAGTTTAACACCGCCATTCGCAAGACTAAGGGCACAACTGATTACATTCCCACCGATTTGTGGGGCTGTACACCTGTTTCGTCAAAGGGTAGTGTCAAATGCTTGTTAACTTTTATTCATAATTTTTTAAGAAAAGTTTTCAGTATATTTTCATAAGCATAAGAATGATATTTTTTAACTTTTAAAAAATGAAAAGTGCTTATAGAAAATTAAAACAAGAAAATTAAGTGTTTTTGAACAAACAATAGTTTGGAGTTCTATGAAGGACAATTTAAAGTATTTTGCAAGAATAAAGACATAATAAAAGTGCAAATGACACCACAACAAAATAGAGTGGCAGAAGATATGAACACAACACTTTTGGAGATGACACGTTGCATGCTCTCTAATGCTCAGTTATCAAAAGAAGTTTGGGTTGAAAGTAAGCTTGAGCAAAGGGTACAAAAATACATATTTCTTGGTTATGCATATGATGTGAAAGGTTACAGATTGTGGTGTACTGATAAAAAGCCACCAAAAATTCATAATTAGCAAAGATGTTAGGTTCAATAAATCAATCATGCTTCATCTGACAAATGAAATTGAAAATACAGGAAAAGAATATGATATTAGCAAGCAAGTGAAGGGTTTGAACCACCAGAGGAAATATAGAAAATTACTATAGATCAGCTTATTCATGAAGTAGACACTTCTTATCATCCTAGTCAAAAGGAAGAGCAATGAATTGTGGAAGAACATGAAGTTTCATAGCAGTCTCCTCAACAATGGTAGAAAAGGTTTCATAATTTCATGTTAAGTCATAGTTATTTTAGAAGTGACTATGACTGTTGTTTATACCAAAAAAAAGCTCTTAAATGGGTCATTTATTTATTTGTTACTCTATTATGATGAAAAGCAAATTAGAAATCAAGTTGAAAACTTAACTCAATGGTATTTTTTAAATGAAAGAATTGGGTGCAGCTAAAAAAAATCTTCGGCATGGAAATTAATAGAGATCGCCATGCTGGCAAGTTACACTCATCTCAAAAGAAGTACATTGAGAAAGAATTGAAATGCTTTACAATGTCGAATGCAAAACCTGAGAGCACTCCATTGGCTATCCATTTCAGATTGTCAACTACAATGTCACGACTCACCACAGTATGCTAAAAAGGAGAAACAAACATCACATGTTCTTTATGCAAATATAGTTGGAAGCATAATGCATGCTGTAGTTTGCAATCATCGAGATATTTCATGTTAATATTGTTAGCAGAAGGATGGGACATCCTGACAAGATACATTGACATCCTCATAGTAGTCAATCCTAGATAGCGGCGCGGAGCGGCCGACCTAAAAAACGCTATAGCGGCATAGCGGATAGCAGGATGGCCACTATTTTAGGTATTATAAATATACTCATAAATTAAATTACACACATATATATATGCTTAGATGTCAATAACAATTAACAATAAAATATAAGAAGAATCAAAACAAAGAAGAAAAAAAAAGAGAAAAATACAGGAAAAAACAATTGTTCCGTCACCGGAAAGTTTGTTGGAAGTCTGCAGGAGTTGGAGAAGATGACTGGAAAGTATTTCAGTGATGTCGAAAGTTGTGTTGACCTTGAAGAAGATAACAAGAGATGAAGAAAATGACTCAAAATAATTTAGGTCACCTTAGAAGCTCGCTGGAGACGAAGAAGATGACCAGAAAATCAAAGTAGAAGCATCGCCGAAAAAACAGAGGAGAGAAAACAGGGGAGAGCTGTGGAGAGAACAGAGGAGAGCGAGTTAAGAGCTGACTTGAGCAAGGCTAGGATTTTGCGTAAGGAAGAAGAGATTCAGAAATAAAAGGAGGGGTCGAAATTCTAAGATTGTCTCCCCTTAAAAGGCCCCAATGGTAAAAGACAAAGGGCACAAACGGAAATGTGAGAGGATGGAATAGCGGCTGCTCCAGCCGCTATTTTCAAAGTTTTCTGCCGCTATTCACAGCGCTACGGCCGCTACTGTGAAACGAGACGCTACAGGGTCGCGATTGCAGCCACTATTACCGCTATTGACTACTATGGACATCCTATGAAATAGATACTTCAATATCTTCAAAGAGAATGTTGGCTTGATTTACAACAGGAGTCATACCAATGCTAGTAGTATTATTAGTTATGTTGACTTTGATTATCTTAGAAGTGTTAATAAGAGAAGATCCATGACAGATTATGCTTTCATGTTTTCAGGTAGTACAATTAGTTAGAAAACATATTTACAATTTTATGCCATTATCTACTATAAAAGCAAAATATATTATTGCAGAAAAAGTAATGAAGGAAGTTATCTGGATTGGAAGTTTAGTTAACAATTTGAATTTAAAACAAAATAGTACAATAGGTTACTATAGTCAAAGTGTCATACATTTGACTGAAGAAATCAAATGTGAAAGAATTAAACATATAGATGTCAAATATTACTTTATACAGGAAATCGTCTGACAAGGTGCCATTGTTAGTAAAAGGTTAGCACTTCAAACAATCCAACAAATATGAGGATGAATCCAATTACAATTTCTAAGTTCAAGTATTATTTTGACTTAATTAGAGTTTGTTCTGAGTTAGATCCAATGAGCATTTTGGTAAAGGTGGCATGAAAAAAGTTCAAGCCAAGGTGGAGATTTGTTAATAAACGGCATTCTTTTCTTCACATATTTTGGAAAAAATCAAAAGAGCAAATCATTCACTTTTGCATGCAAACAATTTATGGTTGAAAGAAAACTAATATTCTTTGTACACTAATGGATGATAGACACACAGAACAAAAACCTATATATTGGAACTTCTGAACATTGTAGACAACTTCAATTTTTGTTTTATGCCATCACAAGCATCATCTCTCAAGAAATTATGTTTCCTTTTTTCTTCTCTTTACTTTTTGAGAGTTGAGTGTATATACCAATGAGGAAATACTGACAGGTATTGGATATATTTGTGCTTTGGAATTTGAATGAAGTGTGCTTTTCCAATTGTTTTCTCTACCATATTTGCTTAGGGTAGTCATAGATAGTTGCATGTGGACATAAGCTTTAAGATAAGGCAGTTCATAAAGCAAGGATTACCTTAAATTTTATAAGCTCTACATTGGTCATATTTGTAATCAATGTGAGATCTCAACACACACTACTCATGCCTAAAACTAGACATCTAGAGCATAGAAATTATAGGACTTATATATATCACACTAAGAAAGCCGTAGGGCCAGGTTATTTTTTATAGTCAAAGATAGCCTAATATTGAATCTATGATAGACTTTGGATAACATCTTGAATTTGGCTTAAACCTAACTCAACCCCAAAAATTAGTTCATAAGGTGAGGATTGTTTTGGCCTTTTGAAGCTCTACTTTGACCATATATCTAGTCAATATGGATCTCAACAATCATTAAACAATCGTTCCCCATAATTGGTAAGACACTCATTTAAGAAATAGGTAGACAGTAGACGATAATTTCTTTTAGAACAAGTATGGACTTTTTAGTATATCATTACACTAGTATGATATTGTCCACTTTGAGCCTAAGCCCTCATGGTTTTGTTTTTGGAAATCATCCAAAAGGCCTCATACTAATAGAGATCTACCATACTTGTATGCTCTTGATCCTCTCCAATTCTAGTCAATGTGAGACTTTGTTCGCACATCCCAACAATCTCTCCCTCGAACGAAGTCCTCTAACACCGAGCCCCTAACACCAGAGCCCACCTTGGAGGCACTATCTGAGACCATGCATACTCACATCCACATCCATGTGGTACCACTTAGGGATCCGAGCTCTGATACCACTTGTTAAAACAAGTATAGACTTTTTAGTTTATTTCCACACTAGTATAATATTATCCACTTTGGGCTTAAACCTTCATGGTTTTGTTTTTGGACATCATCCAAAAGGCCTCATACTAATGAAAATCTAACATACTTATATGCCCTTGATCCTCCCCGATTCTAGTCAATGTGGAACTTTGTTCGTACATCCCAACAATCTCCTCCTCGAACGAAGTCCTCTAACACTAGAGCCCACTCTGGAGGGACCCTTGCCCTCTCCTGGCTCTCAAGGCACCCTCGCTCTCTCTTGGAGGTCCACCTGCATACCTGAGGTTCACCGTGCACACCCACATCCACGTTCACATGGCACTACCTAGAGATCCGAACTCTGATACCACTTGTTAGAACAAGTATGGACTTTTTAGTATATCTTCACACTAGTATAATATTGTCTACTTTGGGCCTAAGCCCTCATGGTTTTATTTTTGAACATCATCCAAAAGGCCTCATACTAATGGAGATCTACCATACTTATATGCCCTTGATCCTCCCCAATTCTAGTTAACGTGAGACTTTGTTCACACATTCCAACAATTAGTTCATAAGGTGAGGATTGTTTTGGCCTTTTGAAGCTCTACTTTGACCATGTATCTAGTCAATATGGATCTCAACAATCATTAATCAATCGTTCTCCATAATTGGTAAGACACTCATTTAAGAAATAGGTAGGCAGTAGACGATAATTTCATGTTTCTTTTTCATTAGAATCATTGCAAAAGATAACCCATTTTGGCTCCTCCTGTGATTGTGAAAAAATGATTTTCATTCTCAATAGAAAAGATATAAGATTTTATGCACTGTCGCACTTACCACCTTAATACAAAACATCCTCTCATAATTTTAATAGAAAGCAGCAGTTCTTCTACAATTAGTATTCTCCCTTCTTCATAACTACCATTTTCTTTTGCTGTCTCTAGATCATCAGACATGCATATGTGCATGCTCAAAACAGTGCAAGCCTTAAAATACATACTCACAAATCCCTAATCCAGAATTCCAATCCAAGCTTCATACCTACCCCAAGCATCTAGAATCCTACAGAAAACATTTCAGCAAAACTATGCCTATACAAATATCTACAATGGATCTTGCTTATTTCCTTTAAATGAACATGTTCTTCCTCAATGGAACTTGTAGTCATCTACAAGCAGAGTTATTTCATTTAAATGCAACTGTCTACTAGTCAATAATTCAACAAGCTACATACTACCAGCATCAAAAGAGGTACACATCATATAAATTCTAGATGATATCCTCAAACATTGCTACTACTCCACAATATTCCATGCAATGTCATAAAAACAGTACTTATAGTTGACCAAAATCAACTAAACCACAATCCTTCTACTTATATGCCAAAGCAACCAAGTCCATAGCATAACCATATCCATACAACACAGCCCCTTCATGTCCATTAAAACCCATTCACTCAAAACCCTGAAACCCCATCTCAGTACATTCTATACCACACCCCACCCTAACAAATCTTCAGGCAAAAAGCCCTTTAAAGTTTCATTTTTTTTATTTCCCACCTAATTGGAACACACGTAGCACTTCAAACTTTCATTTTTGATAGAGTCACGCATGTAGCACCTCAAAGTTTCATTTTTTTATTTCCAACATAATCTTTCTTACTACTGATAAAGTCACACTATCTAACCACACAGCCACAATTAAAAAGAAAAAAGAACGAACTTTATCCAACAGAGACAAGCCCGTTACCTGAGCTGAACAAACAGAACCATGTGTTTTCAACAGCGCCACGGCACCAGATACATCCGGGTCGATACCAAGTACCCATTTGGACCCGTCATCGATGCGGGTTGGGTCATTGAAAAGATGGGTCTTTTCTGGAAAAGGGTATGAGAGTGAGTCCAACCAATTCTCTTTGAGTTGAGCATCAGAAGCCTTAACCCTACGCCTTCTCTCAGGAACTATGATTTGAGGCTGATTCAGATTCTGGGTTTGGGTTGAAGAAGAAGAAGAACAGAAGGGTCTGATGTCAACGGAGGAAGTGAAGGAAAGGGAGGGTATGAGTTTGGAAGAGAATTTGTTCATGAAATGCAATTGGGTTTGGTGGAAGTGTGGTGGTGTGAATTGTAGGGATTCCATGAAAAAACATGGTACCAAATGACTCAGCTGATTGAATCGGAAGAATGGAGGGAACAAAAAGGACCAAGACAAAATCAAATTCAATATCCTATCTTCTCTTTTTCACTTCTTATCTGGCTTAGTTTAATTTTAGGAAAATATTTTTTGTACCTGTGGAAAATTATGTTTTAGGTTTTTTTTTTTTTATTCAAAACAGGTGTATTTTACTGTGGATAATGTATTAAAAAGTAATTAAAAATTTAAAAAAAAACACAATTGTATATTTTTAATATTACACTTTTAAGAATTTAATTTAAATACATTAACAATATGAAAATTTATTATAAAATTACTTAATCATAAATTTTTATATTTACCATACTCGTTAATTTTTATAATAATTAATTTTAAAATTATATTTAATAAGTAAATAATTTCTATAAATATATTTTCTTTTAAAATTAGTCTTTATAAAAAATTTGTTAGAGTTAATCTTGCAAAACAAATTTAAAAATAAGTATTACCATTTACTGAGAGCTTAGCAATGATTAGGGAAATACTAGGTCACATTATATCTGTCATGTGAAATACTACTTTAGAAATGGCAAAGTTTAAATAAGTAAGTAGTTCCTAAAAAATATATTTATTAATAATTAGTCCTATTAAATTTTTGTTTTGATTTTGATCTTTAAAATTTTAAAATTTTTTTAAATATCATTTTCTAATAGAATTTTTAAGAAGAAAATTATAAGTTGTAATGTGTATGGTAGAAAAACTTGTTTTGATGTGTTACACATATTTCTATTTTAGATAATGCAGAAGTTCTTTATTGTGTGTAAACAAAAAAAAAACTTACTTTAATTATATTCAATTTTATTTTAAACAATAAAAGTATAGATTTTTTTTCTAACAATAATAGTAGAAGAAGTAAGAAACTTTGAAATCTTTGTATATTGAATGTAATAATAGAAAATTATCTTATTTAAAAGTTTGCAAGACTAAAAAAAAATTAAAAGGATTAATTCTAAAAAATTATATTTTTACAAGATTAAAATTAAAACAAAAATTTAACAGAGATTAATTTTAAAAAATATATTTGTTAAGAACTAATTACTCATTCAAACTTTGTCATATTTAAAACTAACATTTCATATGATAAGTATGATATGTAAGGCCATTTGCTTATTCATCACTTGACTTGATAACTCTCGTTTAATACAGACTGTTTTGGAATAAAAATAAAAAATCATAAGAGCTAATTCCATAAAATAGTATATTTTTAAAGACAATTTATTATTTATTTATTTATTATATTTTTTTTCACAACAAATTCTAATTATACTCATTAATTTTTATAATTAAAAAATTATAAAAATATCAAATATAAATAATTAAAATTGTATAAATTAAAATCATGTGAATATTAGAATGTAAAAATGAAAATGTAATTAATATTTTTTAACTAAATGTTGCGCTGATAAAATTGTCAACCATATTAGTTAATTATTGGATTTCTGTGTAAATTATTGGATCTTAAACTTATATGTTAAAATCTAATTCTTAATTTTATTTATAAGAAATGTTTAAATATATTCTTAGTTTTATATTTTTTTTAAGATTTTGATTTTAATCTTTAAAAAATATAAATATAGTTCTTACATTTTGTCAAATTATTATGTTCTTCTCAATTACGTGACTTTAAAAAAATTAATATATGGTAACTTTTAAATTAGTCATATTATCATTTAATAATCATTAAAATTGAAGGTATTAAATTTTAAAATTAACGAACTTGAAAAAAAAAATAAAAACTAAAATTAATATTTGACAAAAATAAGAAAAACATACATTTCATTAATTAGAAAAAAAATATTTTTTATATTCGTGTTAAAAGTAAGAGATACTAATTAGATCATTTACTATATTTCAATTAAATAAAACTCTCTTAATATATATTCATTTTTTACAATTTTTTTGACAAAAATCAACAATTTTATTTTTACACTAAAAGTAATTGTGATAAATTAATAAAAAAAAAATTAAATGTGTGCCAAAATAAACATTAAAATTTTTACGTTTATGTCAATTCAAAAATTATTTTAAGATCTTTGAAATCTTATTTATAAAAATAACAAATGTGTATATACTGAAACAGAATATACAATAAATATGTATATAGTAATGTTACACATGTGATTGTAAGTGTCAAAAGGAATCATGTTGTAAATTCTTATATATAGACTCAAACGCATTCTCACAATTTTTATGTAAATAAGTACCCTAATCTAGATTCATATGCATGTGATGAGTAGAACTTTGTGTAATTTTTATGAATATACATTGAACTTATATTTAATTAATATCCCTTAGTCGACATATGTTAAAGTCTTCTTTTGGTGGTGTATATAGTTATCTTTGAATCAATTAAAAGGGATGAAATGAAGGTAGTAAAATTGAATGATATCAGTTACATTATTTTTAATCTTCACTTTATTTTGGCAGTGTAGGGTTTTAATATTTCAATAGTTTTGAAGTAAATATATAAATTACTTTTTGTTCCCAGAAAATATCATTTTGTACAATTTAAATTTTAAAAATGTTAACTTAGCCATATTTTAATCCTTTATTCACAAAAATATAAGTGAAATGTGAGAAAAATTAACATCAAACCATACATCTTGACCCTTTCAAGGACCAATTAATTCTGAGTAAGTTAATACATTCAAGGATCAAATTTTATAAAGCAAACTTAAGAGAACAAAAGTAAACAAAGTATCACTTTCTCGGACTAATTTATGTATTAACTCTAATTTTATTATTTAAATTTAATCTTATTAATTTTTTTAATTGTTTCAATTTTTTACATGAAATTGTTCTGTCTAAAACTCTCAAAATCATCTCAACAAACTATATAACATGATGTTGAGTCTTAAAAAGCATCTCAATGTTGAATGATCACACTCTTAACGTAATTTTCTTAATTTTACATTTTAAAAAAATAATGAAAATTCTTTATTTAATACACGAGAAATTTATATATTAAAGTTATAACTTAGTAGACAACTTTTTGCCACTAATAATGATCTAACATAATTGAAAGCATATTAGATAATTTCTAATATAATAATATATATAATAGTAGATAAAGAAATAAAGTAGAAACGCGTAAAAAAAAATAACTTTTCAACTGTTAAATTATTTGATTTGTACAATTGGAATTTTGTGTAAGTTTTTTAGACTTACACCTAGTGTCAATGGATCCTATTCCTATATTATATATATAATAGCAGATAAAGAAAAGTAGGTTTAGATTTGTGCACCCGTGAACTTTTGTTAGCTTGTTAAAGGATAAATATTTTAAATTATTAGACTATTAACAACTTTGATTAGAAATTTTGTAGTCCAATACTAATTTCAATATTATGCTATGTTACAACTTTGAATAGATTTTCCATTTTAGCCAAAGCATTTAATAAAAAAAATCTTATTTGTAACAACATTTTCAACAGGGCATGATCTTTTCTTACATAAGTATAAGTCTAAAAATTTTTCTTGTCTTTCATTTAACTTACATCTTACAGTTTATAATTTACTATTTCATTGACCATTAGATGTAAGTTAAATGAAAAGTTTAGATTTGAATGTAAGAGTTTTTAAACTTACATTAATGTGAGAAGATTCTTCCCCTTTTCAACATTTTCAATCTAATAATAAATTTTCTTTTTATGTTGTAAACAAGAGTAATTCTTCATGAGTTGCGGTAATAGTTGTTTACACCATTTAGTTTAATAGCAGATTAGTAATTTAAATAATAATTATAATTAAAGTAACATGTCATGTGATAAACATACTTGAATTATATATATATATATATATTATTTAATTTATATCTTGATATTTTCTTTCTTTCAACTACACAAAGGGTAAGTATTGCTTCACTCTTTACCCAAGACAATGACCATGACTCACTCATATCACTCAATAGTTGTTCTTAATTTTGTTGGGACGCTTCGTTCTTTATTACTAATAATAATAATACTCAACTAACGTAAATAATTTTACATAATTTGAGAAATTACTACAATCTTGAAAATAAAATATTCATTCAAAGAATAGACTTGTTAAAATGCAAATATTTTTTTTATTCTATTTCAAAAAATACAGCACAATTTTTCATTCTAATATATTTGAGAAATTAATGTTGAATGTCAATATTTTTATCATTTTTTGGTAATTTCAATATAAATTACCTTATATCAATTTAAACTTTCTTTCTAGCAACCAACAAAGGTTGGTTCAAGTAATACAAGTTTTATTCCCCTTAAGCAAGATCTCATATTTGAACCTCGTGTATGAAAAATATTCCCACTAAGACAGCAGCTCCACCACCTATGGATGTTTTCTGATCGATAAGATTACCAAAGAATATTTATAGTCAAGACCAAGAAAAAACCTTTTTTCTAGCTCATAGGACAAAAATATTGGTTGCACTGAGACAAATTAATTGTTTCGTTGAAAAAATAAGGCTGAAAATGTGTGATAACATTTTGTTAAAACAACATGAATTCCTCATTCCTCCTCCTAAACTCTCAAAGTTCTCAAGCAGATTGTCTTGAAAATCTTCTGTGATTGGTTATGTATCCCTTCAAATAGAGAATTATGTTTTGGAAGATACAGTCTACAAGATAGGCTTTCTTTCTTGCATGTTCTTTTCTTTATCTTCACCATATCAAGTCCATGGGATTTCTGATAGACCATGCTGGCTGCAGAGGAGAGTAGCTTTGAGTTGGAATAGAAATACCATGCATTGCTAAATCTTCAACATATCAGAGTCACCTGCGATGTTTGTTTCTGAAAATTCAAACTATGTTAGTGCTGCTACTCAAGACTAACTTCAAAGATGACTCCTTCAAGGTTCTGAATAATTCTCCGAGTTCCAGGCACTTCTTTCATCTGCAACTGAAGCTTAGAAGCTTCGGTAATAATCATTGAATCCATGCTGCAGGGAGAGAAAAATTAATTGAGAACAATGCTTATACTTTTGACCAAATCAAATCAAAAGCTACACAGACTGAATAAGCTCTCTCTAACAATCAGATAATGGAACACTTATAGTGAATAAAATAATTAATTGGATTTGAGATATAAGGAAAAGAAGGAGAAAGCAAAGGAAGCTGCAATTCACAATTGAGATCATAAAGGAGACAAGAGAACAACTAAAACCCAAACATTATAAAAGAAATGCCATATTCAGAAAAAGTTCGTCAAACTTGTTTACACAAGGGTATTCTGAAGTCGGAATAGAAACCTAACCTAATAATAGCAAAAGGTCACATGATAGTTTTTACTTTTTAAGAGAAAGGCAGACCAAATCCCATCCTAAGACTGAGTTGGACATGAAGACAAGTTTTAAAGCTCACAAATGCAGCAAAACTGTTTTCAAAATCTGATATGCTTCTTTACATATCAGGTTCTATAAAATTGTAGCACCAAGGCTAATGCTAACCAGTCAAATTTTGAAAAGAACAAATTTTTATTTAACTAGTATCACTACCAAGTCACCAAACGTTACTAAACAGTACATACAATGAAAATAGTACCCATTTTAGACATGTAAAATGTAAAAGGCAAAATTGAATGAAGTCAATCTTAGATTAGCATGTTGCAATCAAACTAAAGAGGCAAAGAATATTCAGTAAAAAAATAATTCACTGAACAACAATTACTCAGCCTTATCCTACTAGTTGAGGTCAACTACATGGATTATACAATGCCATTGAGTTTGGTAAAAAACTAAATTTTCAAAAATATTATTAATCAAAAGGTTTTTTTAATAACTTTCTATAAAGTTCTTTCAAGTCTCCCTCTATCCCCTTTTACCGAACTAAAAGTCATATCAATTCACTCTCCTCGCTAGTGCATCAAAAAGTTTTCTTTAGATGTAACCAAATCATCTTAGACGATTTTCAATCATTTTTTTCATATAAGTGCTACTCTAATATTCTCACATGTAAGTATAACAATCATTTCTTATCATCTCCTTTTTCATGTGACCACTCATCTACCTTTACATTTACATTTTGTTACTCTCACTTTTTCTTGTATTGTTTTTTAAAGCTTAACATTCATTATAATATAGGATGTAGAATTGATTTCCAAGTATCTGAACTTAAAAATTTATGGTATACTATCAACTCAAATTTTAACTACCAAGGCATGGCCACGTTCTTATTTTTCGCTAAAATTGCAATGTATGTATTTTGTCTTACTTATATAACAACAACAATCAAGCCTTATCTCGCTAAATGAGATCGGCTACATAGATCACACAATGTCATTGAATTCGGACAAAAATCAATTTTTCATAACTGGTTAATTAAAAGGTCTCTTAATAACTTCATCTAAGATTTTTTTGGTCCTCCTCGACTCCTTTTTACCAGACTAAAAGTCATGTAATCCACTCTCCTTATTTCTATTCAAGTAAACTAAAAACCCTTAGAATATCAGAAATTTTAGACACATCCTTAATTTGCTAAACACACCCTATCATCTATTCCCAAGGCTATCTGATACTAAACATTTTAGACACAATAAATGTAAACGGAAAAACTGAATCCAATCAATCTCTTAAATGAGCATGTTGTCAATCAAACAATAAAGTAGAAAAGAATATTCACTAAACTAATAAAATAAAGATAAAATAGGATAATAACAAGCTTGGTTACATACGTCTTCGCTCGGGATACATAGGCTAGAATGAATTTGCATTTTCTGCCCTCTCTAACCTGCAGGAGCTGTTTAACAGTATCAAAAAGCATAGGTATGCTTGACTGCTGAAAACTTATGAATTGTCAAGGTTTCTGAAATAAATTTTTCAGTGAAAGTCAAATATTTTTTACATAAAATCTAAATGAAATGCAGGGATTTTAACTTCAAGCATCACAGAAATTCTACAAAGTCTGTCATTTGATTCGCTTATTCATTTCAGTAAATACCTGGAATCAGTCTTCATAAGAGAATATAGTTGTGTCTTTTGACATTTGATACAAGTAAACCATGGAGATTTGAGCAAGAAATCACAATAGTAAAAGATTATTATTATGATGAAGGTGAAGAAGAATGTAAAGAGGTCAAAATAATGCCTTCAAAGGCTTTGAAAGTGATAGTCAAAGTGTGAACAGCTTGAAACAGATGCATGTTCGGTAATGAATACAACATTATGGCCCTTGTATTGTTATAGTTATGAAGAAAAAATTCCATAGGTAGCCCTTCCCAATGCCCAAGGCCTCAACTTCTGTCCTTATTTATAGGCAACATCCCATATTTCTCTAATGATCCCATACCCCAACTAACTAATTACACCTCTAACTAACTATTTATTCTAACCAACTTAGGGCTACCTATAACTGGAACACCTATTAATGTAAGTCCTCACAAGATGACAGATTTTGAAGATAACCTTCTAATCTAATCTCATAGTCATAATGACCATAAGAAACTACAAAGATGGTTCAGTCGTTGTCTTGGGTAAGAAATATGAATATCATCTCAGTAGATATCTGTGTTTATCTTTATCTTGTGCCTCCAGTTCTTCTGGCATTTATGCATGACTAAAGTACGATTACAGTGGGAAAAAATACATAAGGATATAAATATCAGCTCCAAGTATGAAGTCAAAACCTCCAGGATGTTTTTGTAATATTTCATTTATCTGATCAATGTTCCCCCATTCGAGTTTCTCTGCAACTAATCCTGCAGGTATATTAATGTAAAATTCAGTGGATCAGACAAGTGTCTTCCATTCTTCTTTAAGAAGGTTTTTTACTCACCATGAGAAGTAGAACTAATATTTTCAGGACGTGAATGTAGCTCTATATTTTTCTTTAAGATCTGAGAGGACATAGTATAATTAGCCTATATAGCAGATAACCAGGGATATGTTACCACCATGTGTCATAGGAACATATTTTCACAATCCTACCTTGAGAACTTCTTCATTATGGTCTGTCATCACAACTTTATTGCAGAATCTGCTGCAAAGTATTCCTGTAACACCTGTGATTCAAAGTAAGAACCATTCATAGCATCAAGGTCTAACCTTGTACAAAATAAGGATAGGGTATAAATGTAATCAGGATCTGTATCCTATCGAGGATCTGGAGGGGGTATAAACAAATAAAACATGAGATTGCACATAAATTGCAAGATGCTAATTCTTAACTATCTACATGTATGTATGTCTATACCAAAACAACCTTAAAATCTCAACTAAAATTTAATCAAAACAACAATAGAAAATCATGTCAGAATTCAAGTTGCAACTTGTTAAATTAAATTAAATAAAAGACAAATTTTTCTATTTTTGACCATATTAAACTATAAGATGACATTTTCACATAATCACAGTGCGATCACAGAACAAGTCCATAGCAGATGACCAGAGCACCCAAACTGGATGAAGCTGCAAATTATAAGCCAGCAAGACTCTCAACCATAGTCCATAAGCAGAAGCAGATTGGAGGAGAGAGTTGAAGACTCAAAGCACCACAAAAATTCTAGCAATCACCCATAACTGGAACCTCTGACAGATAGGAGATCAAGCAACCCTGGACAGGATGCAAAGGTCATAGGATTGTCATAGGGCATTGGTATCTACAGAATTCAGATGTGCTTGGGTTCTATTTTCAAAAATGGCCAACTTGGCCAGCATAGTGATATTTTCCAATCCAATCCCACCAGTTTCGATCCCATCAAAACCAGTTGGCTATGATGGGGATCAAATATTCAAATTAGGAAGCAAAGTGGTATCAAGTGATCCTACAACTCATCACATGATTTGGTTTGGATTACTTTTTATCCTAGGTACCCAGTAATACTTTGGATTTTAGAAAATAATAAACTAACTACAACGATAAGTAGTTTGTTTCCTAAAACAAGGATGAGCAATGACTAAATAAGCGATTGCTCAACAAAATCCTCCTTCAGTATTGTAAAACTAAGAACAATTTAAGGATGCATTGTTTCTCCAACAAACATCAGAGAATCTAAATATAAGAAATGATATTTTCTTCTAAAGGTGAACACATACCAACACCAGAACCTAATTCAATGACAGTGCAACCCTGAAGCATCTCAATATTTTTTGAAAGATAATCATTCATCAACATGGCTCCAGGCCACACCAGCTGTCCTGTCAAATCAAAATCAGCTGATTCCAAAAATAGTTAGTATTGTGAGTTATGACCAAACTAATATAAGATACAGAAAGCATAAAAAGGGTGCCAATTAAAAAGGACACAGAAAAGTGTGTGTACTCTAGTTCATACAAAGGCTTTTAGGTTTCCAATTAAGTATTGTCACATCATGCTCAACTCCGATTCCTATGTAAACTGTGTTTTAATCTAAATTTTCTAGTTGAAATTGTCTTTGAAGATTTAATCACAAATAAATAATCCATTTACGACACAAAATTTTCCTCCTTTCTAAAATAAGAATGGGAATGGCAATGTGAAGTATCACTTGGCTAGATGGATTTTCAAAATGAAATGTAATCCAATGAGGTAAAATTTCAGAACCATAAAGCAGTCAGATTTGGGCTCTTCCAAGCCCTTTCTAGTATGATTTAAGATTAAGAGAACTTTTCTAGAAGATGAAAAGCATGCCCCAGTTTATTGTCTTCCATTGAAAGACTACGTAGAGAATCAGTTTTTGTTCACAACCTAGGCCTGTCAAGTGAACAACAGCTTTAAATAAAAACTAGGTGGAAAACTATTGAATTGAGTCTACCACATTCAAACTTAGCAACACGTCATATAGTCATATCAAATTTAAAGCACAATAAAGTTCCTATTTGAGGGATTAATATGGCAAATGGATAGCATTGCCAATTTACCAATTAGAAAGTCCAAGTTCAGTATACCACCCAAACAAAGTAAATGCCCATAATGTGAATACTGAATATTAGCATAATTGACCAACATGTGTATCTGTGTGTGTGATAAGAAAAGAAATTCTAGTAACACACACTAACATACTCTTTCCAAAACCTCTTTTGTTGTTGAATGAAATTCATGTGGGGCTTACTAAACGATGTGGGTCTCACACCCCCTCCCCCCCCCCCCCCCCCCCCAACAGTCCTAGACAATGCATTCCATTTCCTATTTATGAGATTCATATGAATTTTATTTTACTTAATAGAGAAGTGTATATTTGAAAGAGTGTGTTTGTGATTACGGATAACACCAATGCAAAACTGAGTAGGATACTATAGTACCCATCTCCACACCTGTGCTTTAAAGGATACAGCGATACCACATGGATAGCAACTTTAGTGGCAATCCTCATATTCTATGGGTACACCTAAATACCCATACCTGGAATCATTAACCCACAATTTTGTTAAACTAAGGTGTTATTTAGCATCCTAATTATAAAACACGAATGGCCAACCAGTGATGTTCCTTTGCTGGTGATCGATTATGATGACAATCCATAACAGATACACACAATTCCTCTCAAACACACCATATCTCAACACTTAGTATGTGAAACAAACAGTAGCACCCTAATTAGGAGCCCAGAAAGAATGAAAACATTGAAATGCAGTCCCTATAACATGATTCCACTCATAATCAAATTTAAAAAATACAACCTTTTAATCAAACTATATCTTTCTCCCAAAAAATAAGCACAACCCATAATCAAGCACGTGTCGTTTTTTAAAACCTTAAAAAATAATAAATATTAAAAAAAAGAAAGAAAAAAAACACTTACTGGAAGCAGAATGCAGACAAAAGAGCTGAATATCTAGAGAACCAAACGTGAATTTCGTTAGTTGGTAACTGCAAATTCCCAAAAGGAAAAAAACTTCATCTTCTTCACAACCGTGAGACTAAGAACGAGGAAGAGAGAGAAAGAGAGAGAGAAGGTGGAAATACTTGTCATTAATGAAGAACGATTCGTCCAAGCAAACAATTTCCTCTTCTTGCTCGTGTTGGTGTTGTTCTTGGTTTCCTCTATCTTCCATATTCAGGGTTAAGGGAACAATGCGACGGCGTTTTGGTTTCTTCTACTAGTCTTTTGTTTCTGTTCCAAGTTCAATTTTATGCAAGGAGAACAAGTAACAGGCAGAGGCCGAAAATGTTTTAGAGAAGTTTTTTTTACGATAAAATAATAGTATAAAAATATTTTTTTTGTAAATTAAAAATAATTTACAATTATCTATTTTTAAGATATAATTATTAAAATTTAAAGAAATAAAGTATGTTTAATTAATAAAAAAAAACTTATTTTTTATACTCATTTTTTCTTTTGTAATTTTTTAAAAAAAGTTTGTGAACTCACTAATGACTTAAAAAAAAGATAATTGATATGATTAAATTAAAATTAGTTATAAAATTAATAAATCTATAGGTTAACATAAGTATTATTATAGTAATAATAAGCGGTACACTAGCGACTTTCTTTCATTTTTACTTTTATTTTCATGAAACAATCCCACTTCACAATTTGTATTTAATATGCTATATTCATATTACTTATATTAAAATGAAATTATAAGTCAATTTGGATAAATATATAGATAGGTATGAATAAAAATTAATATTTTTAAAATTAAAAGATTATACTTTTTAAATTTTAAATAAATTTAAAAATATAAATGAATATAAATGAATTTCAATTTCTAAAAATAATATTCATTATATTGATTAATTATTTATTTTTATGAATACTTATTAAAAAATTAAAAAAAATAAAGATTTAGAGTTAAGGTGTTTTGTTTTATTTTTCTCTTTTTATAACTAAAAAAAGTTTAACTAAAAAAAATTTTAACAACTAAATTATCAAACAATTTTTATTTTTTCTAAAAATTATTTTATAAAATTATTTTAAAATGTAAATTTTAAAATTAAAAATCAAAATTAAATCAAACAAACCCTTAATAACTACTTTTCCTCATTCCCTAATTATTTTACCTAATATGAAACATAATACATCTTAAATATTTTCAGCATCACGAGAATTCTCTATTTTAATTCTCTCCACCTTCATTTCACATACTTCATAAGCTTATATATTAATTTATTTATTTATTTCTTTGTTATCTATAATTTTTCAATTTTCAAAATCCATCCAAAATTAAATACAAATTCCAATTATAAAATACATTATATTTATCCAACAACACCTTGGTTTGCACGCAAGAAATGCAAAGAAAGATATTGCAATGAGAGAAAGCATATGCTTTTAAAACTTTTTTTTTTCATATCTGAAACAGTACAATAATTAGAAGTGACACTTATAAAAAAACAAAACTCGTCTCTTAAAATTTAATAATGAAATAAAGAGGAAAATTAGTAACACTATTAAACATATTCTTTTTAATATTTTTAATTATTAGTTAACATTATTAAAAAACAGAAATATATATAAAAACAATATTAACTCAAGAATAAAAAAAAGGGAGTCAGTTTTGATAGTTAGCTAATTTATGAGTACTAATTATTAAATGAAAGTATTTTTAAGAATATTCTTAATTGGGGGTGTTTTCAGAGATTAATTCTTTATACATTTTGTAATCTGACTTTTTTATATTATTTTTTATTTATTTTAATTAATATTAATTAAAATTTATTTTTTCATAATTTATTTTCAACTTTAATTAATATAATAAAATAATTAATATTAATAATAATATTTACTAATTTTACATGTGTTAAATTTAAAAATAGTCAAATAATATTTTTAATTATTTATTTTAAATAATTCAATTTAATAATACCTATACAATGTATGAGAAAATTATAACAATAGTTTAAATGATTTCAATTTACAAAATACGAGGCCAGGATAAGTTGCTTACTTGATTAAAAAAAATTGCTTTTACACTGTTTTTTTTTTTGGTTTATTGCAATATTTCCTTTTTAGAATATATTACATATACTTTTAAAAATTAAATTTTGAAAAGAAATATTTGAAATTTGATTTTTAAAAGGTAGAAATTGCTTTTAAAAATTAAATTAAAAAATAATTTATAAATAATCTCCCCAATTTAATCTTCAGAATATATTAAATATTTTTTTAGAAATTAAATTTTAGAAGTGAGAAAAAATGTAACTAATAAAAAATGGTGATTTAACAAGTAATAACATTTAATTAATCTAAATCTTGTTGTAAAATCTTGTTAAAATAACCTTTAATTAAACTCACCAAAAAGAATCTCCTTGTAAATAAAAGGATTAATCTAGCTAAAGAAAGAATGAAAGATTATTTAGCCGATGAAACATTGAAGCAAGTGAAAAAGCTTAACATCTTTGTTAGCCTTTAACAACTTCAAGCAATTTTATATGAAATTGAAAGGGGTGTATAGAGGGAAGAGAAGAAGATAGTGAGAGAGAATATTCTTAATTCATTTTGCATACCTTAATATATACTATAAGAGTGTCTTATATGCACTATAATAAAAAAATAATAATGTAAAAGAAGATTCTGGATCATTAAACTTCATACAAAATAACAGAATTGGTCCTATTGTCAGAGGTGGCCTTACATGTGATTAATAGCGAATGTAATCCTTGAAAATGGATAGGAGCTTAAATATTTCTTCTAGATTTCTCTTCACTGATGTCAGCTATTGTGCTTGGGTCAGAACTAATGGGCCTTTGAGTACGTTCTTCTGAGGTAGTGGGTGTGGTACTAAGGGTAGTTATACTATCATCTCTCGCTTGTTCAAGAAACACCTTGTCCTCAAGGTAAAATTGGGACTGTAATTGAGGCCATGGTTCCCAACTTGCTTCTTTGAGGGGTAACCCCTTCCATTGGACAAGAGTCTAAGTGCCTGAGTCATTTGTTTTCTAGTCAACTATGGCGATTGGCTCAAGGATTGGTTCGTTGTCCACAATCTCAAGAGGTAGGGGAAAAGGTTAAGGTGGGGATGGTCCGAGATGAGGTTTTAAGAGGCACACATGGAATACGTTGTGTATTTTTGCAACAAGAGGCAAGTCTAGTTTATAAACAACTTCCCTGATCTTTTGTGTGATTTTGAATGGACCGAAGTAACACTTGTGGAGCTTGCTAAAGTGTCCCCTGGTAGTTGGTATTTGTCTTCTAGGACGAAGTCAAACATAGACCCAATCGTCCACTGTGAATTGTAGGTCACGACGGTTGGAATCAGCCTAGTGTTTCATTGCCAATTGAGCTTTATGCATGTTTGTGTGAAGTTTGCGTAGAATTTCCTCCCTGTTGGATAGCTCGAATTGAACAGCAACATTAGATGTGTTATTGAGCAACAACTGAGGGATGGAGGGTGGTGGACGTTCAAACATTACTTCAAAAGGTGTGAGACTTGTAGAAGTATTTGGTATTGTATTAAAGCACTATTCAGCCCATGCTAGATACTTGCCTCATAACAAAGGACAGTGATGGACAAAGCACTGTAGGTACTGCTATAGTATTTTGTTTGTAACCTTAGTTTGCCCGTCAGTTTAAGGGTGATAGTCAGTAGACATACTTAATTTTGTGCCACTCAATCGGAATAGGTCCTGCCAAAAATAACTGATGAAAATTGGGTCTCTATCAGAAATGAGACTGGATGGTAGGCCATGTAGTTTGCAAACCATGTTGACAAAAAGTTCAACTACCTTAGTGGCGTTGAAAGAAGTTGGTAGTGTACCAAAATGTGCTGCCTTTGAGAAGCGATCAACAACCACAAGGATGACGGTATGCCCTTGATAGGGCAGTAGACTCACTATAAAATCCAAGGACAAATCTTCCCAGCATCTAGTATGTAACACCTTAAATTTGATTTCAATAAATAACGAATTTCGCAAATTTTTGAAATAATAAAACTTTTATTTGTAATACAAGTTTCATCAAACATTTCAAATAAAGAAAAGGGGTTACAAATTACGTCAAACAGTTGTTACAGGACTTATTAAAATACAAGATTTTTCCAAAATAATATCCTAAGTCCTATAGCAGTTCCATCCACCCCTTCACTGAGTCTGGTACTGATCGTCTTGATTACTTGAAAAATGAACGTAAGGGTAAGTACTCTACACTACCAAACCACAATCAAGCATAGAGTCTCGCCTCTAACTAATTTTCAATACATTAAACAAATACAGTCACAGGCAGCATTATCACACATCTCATGTCAATTTAACACCGATGCACTAACGACATTGGTATCATTTCACATCCATAAGTACAATACACAAACCCATGCATATGCATGCTAGCCACACTCACTGTGACACTATGATCACAGATTTACACCATGAATGGTCGCTGGTTACCCCAGCCTCACAGATACCACATGAGCAGTTACGGGTCGCTCAATAAAGATATTGGGCAAAGGTCTAGTCAAGAAGAGAGTGTGTGACCCGTGGTGCACCCGTTCCGCAGTCGGTGTCACCACCACTCTCTCCTCCCCAAGGTATTTTTACTGTCCTCATCTTCCACATCCCCAGTGTATCGATGAACCATTCGCAGCACATTACAACAGCGCTACACTTCTCATTCACATACATTTCATTCACACACGCAATATTCATGCTTACACACGGCACATAGCCTATATTCAATTTACAGTACTCGGCACATAACCCACGTTTTATCCACAATATACGGCACATAGCCTTCATTCATTCACAATATCATTAATTCACCAATTTCCATTCAACACACAATTTCTACTCCCTATCTCAGCCACATTGCATTAATCAACAAAACACACAAGAATTATAACACATTGAGATAGGGTAGAGTCTCCCCTTACATGGATTGAAGACCCACACTCGGATTCAACCACGGACATGCTCCCTACACAGATTTCGGCCTCCAAGCGTTCTCCACGCAGATTCAACCTTCAATCAAGCTCCCGAACAACTTTTGAGGCAATTAATCGGTGGAATACAGCTTTGGGTATGAGAGGATCGAAGGGAATTCGAAGGGAGAGGGAGAAATAACCCTTCTCGAACCCTAACCCCCTTTAAATCCTTTTCTGATTGCGACACTTTCGCCTCGCTGCAGCGACACGCCCTCTCGCTACAGCGAAAATATCAGACGAAATTGTACCTTAATTTTTGCAGAATCTCGCTACAGCGAGACCC